GTGATGGTGAGTGATAAATTATCAGATTCTGAACTGTATATACATACATATTGGAAATAGATCGAGAAAAAATAAATTATTCGCCGCGTGATGTCACTTATATTTCTCCATACATATTCCTGGCAAGTTTTCTGAATCAAAGGATTCACTGACTCAGTATGATATTGCTATTTTTACTTATCAAACAATTGTTCCTCCGTATCGGAAATACTTTAGAAAATCTGTCTTTTGAAGGCGAAATTGACAGTTGCCAAAAATCCACATAGAAAGGATCCTGATTTTAATGCTGTTCTGTCATAACTTTGGAATATGTATTGGATTTACGGCATTGTGGACGGCTTATACTTTGGCGACCTTCAGTGGGTCCTGGAAAAATTTCATGTAGATTTTGTTTTCATTCAATAATTGCTCTAAGTTAGCATGACGCTTTTATTCTGCTGTGGTTCATACAAGATAGTTTGGCTGGATTTGTGGCACAGATTCAAGTTGCATAGTTTTGTATAAAGATGAAAAACGTCTAAAGTAAAAAATCATTTTCCTATCTTCTAGCCTGGTAAGCTTTATATCAAATTGAAAGCTCCAATATTCAATTCGGTTATATTAATCCAATCGTCGTATTTACCTTCAACACTAATTGTTATATATATGTATTACTGACGTCTATTCAATATCTAAAACACACATGCCCATTTGAACAGCAACGACTGGGGATGGAATATAACACAAGAACGATCGTTTCTGAACATCCATGAATCCAGAACTATCTGATTGCTGGTCAAATATTTAATACTTTATTATCAACTGCTTAGAAATAAGTAAGATGTGGAAAAACAAATTTGCGACTATACGATAAAAATCACGTCATCAGAAAATGGAAACATTAAAATTTTACTTGATCACTTGTGTATGATTTTCTAGGATAAATAAAGTGTTTGGAGTTTTTGACAACCATTAGCAAATATATATATAAAACTGCAATCGGGCACATATTATAACGAAATGGAGATCCAAGACAGATTCGGATTTTCCAATCGAGTCTAACCATACCCGTTAAACAGTCCGCGAATGCCAGCTTATAAAATATTATAGTTGTGGGAAATAGTGAGACAAACATAATAGGCTATTCTAAAATTTTAACAAATGGATAACAAAAAACGAGAATATGGCTTACTGAAAACAGAGGTACGAACCGCCCAAAACTACTAAAATGGGGAAATATAAATATTTTTTGCTATCGATTGCGCTGCTGCGGTGTCGACTACTTATCCTTCTTCTGCGCTTTCGCGCTGTTGAATCCATATTCATATAATGCAAGGAATGCAGTAGCAAGAATAAAGGTGACTGTCCTAGTATCCTTCTGCAGACTAGCACAAAATTATTCCTGTTACGTTTCTTCTGACTTGTGCTATCGACCGCAGTTTTAAAGGACGGAATATTACAAAAAAAAATTGTGTTAATGTACACCGTTAAGAAGACTCGTTTAGAATAATTTATTATTCTACACAAAATAATGTAAAAACAAAATACGAAAAATTGGGCGTGGACTACACACATCGTTTTTACTCATAAACCTAACATTCACAAGGAATCTCGTTTCATCCAGTGTCGTTATAAAGTCCTGGTGGCAGCGTCGGTGGTGGAAAATTTGGCATAGGCGGACTGCTAGCTTCACCGCCTTCTTTAGTTATTTCCTGGACTCCAGGGGAGGGTATGTGAATGGGAGTATCTTCCACAGATTGAAGCCGCCGTCGTGCGATTGGCATAGGCCTGGGCCTCGCTCTTGGACTTGTTTTTTGCCGACTGAGCGAAGCTGATGCATCGGAAGCTCCCGGTAGAGATAGGCTGGAGGATGTATACTTCACAGAATTGGATCGTCTTGTTGCAACGGGTGGCTTCGGAATAGCAGGCGGGTCTCCAGTGGGACTTGACGCAGTGGAAGACGGCGCTTTCCAACTGTTTTCAAAATTATTCAACTGTTATACTAATCGTAACTATAAAAAAAAAAAAATTTGCCCGGGCGGGAATCGTGATTTGCGACTTTGATTCAAAAGTAATTTTGTAGCATAAAACAAGCATTCCAACAAAAAATATAACCTTCTTGCAAAGACTAGACTCATGCTAAACAAAAAGAATACAAATGAAAATTATTTTATTCTTTATTTTGAGCCATGATTTGGTATAATACAACTACTAAGTCCATCATAAATTTATCACAGAGCCCCGCCAGTCTACAAAATGTGTTTTCCTTGAGTAGATTTAAAATTGAAACAGAATTTGCCTATGTGATGCATTAGATTTATTGTTTTTGTCATCAACAGCCGATGGACGTAGACTGGACAATAGGGGAGACTGAGACAAATCAATGATGAACTATATATTGATCAATGTGCGAACTTAAGACACTATTTCCAAGGGCAGCATTGCACTCAAGAATTGAAATAAAAAAATTCCCACATCAAGAAGAATATAACAAAAAAGGAAAATTTCATAATTTGCTAACCAAGACATGAGGAGAAATCAAAAATAGCAAAAAGCTTCATCTGTGGCCCAGGTTTGTGAAAAAAAGAAATTTCAGATGTTGCAAATGTGACAAAAATTGGAAATTGATTTTACATTAGAATGCTCTAAATCAGCGTTTCTCAAACTGTGTTCTGCGAGCTTCTTCCGAGTGTTCCCTGGGCGAAATTACAACTAAATTGGTCGCTATGGCCAATCTTGGACTTACCTCGGCGACTCTGGGTTGTAAAATTGTCTCCCAACTCCCACCGATAACCGTTTAATATCGTTAACCGTTGGCCTGATTTTTAAATTGTTAGGTTTACAGCAAACATTTAAATTTTACCATGTGCAAATTTTTTTGGAAACAAACAATCAATTTTACCTTCTAATTTCTTGGTGTTTCACGGGGCGAGATAAAAAAAGCATGGGTGTTCCTGAGCAAAAAAAAGTTTGAGAAACGCTGCTCTAAATAATCACACAGACAATATGATAGGATAACAATGTTAAGAACATGCGCTACAAAAAGTTGAATAAAACCTGAAACGCATGATAAAAGATTTTAAAACTTAATATATAGTACCTCAAAAAAAAGAAACAAATTTGAACATAGTTAGCTATGAAATATCGGTTATGCATTTAGTAATATAGTAATAAAAAAAAAACTTGCGCTCCCGAAGTATGTGCGCCATCTTGGAAAAAAACCAACCATACCAAAAAAACTTGCAAGCGAAAATTAGAAAGAGATTAATTGTGATGAAAGTATATGACAGTCATGAATGAAATGCATGGTATTCAATTTTAAGAATCTTGTCGATCTTTTTCATTTAATTTAAACATTACCGGTATATACACAGAGACCGCAAAAAAATAGAGCGCAGGTCATTTGGAACATATTCCAGAGTGAACTTTTGTGCAAAACATCTTCCTACATTAGTAATTCGTTTGGGTACAAACATACACAAGTTGTACTGGTAAATAAATTTTCTTCATTTTCGTAAAGACATTCTTGGGTCATATTTTCCTTGGGCCACGCTGTAATATAAATCAGTCCCATTTATTCACACATGAATGCAACATTAAGAGACATTGGAAGAAAAAGACGAATATCGGTAATGAAGAGCAAAAAATTATACACGTCTATGCAATCCTATTCAAGTGTTTGGCGGACCAGACGAAGTAGGCTGAAATGCAAAATCAAAAATACAGTCACCAAGCAATAAGGAAAATGTACAAATGATTAAAAAGCACTACCCTGAATATTGATAACAACAGTTCAATAACTTATTCTTGGTTTATCACAAGGTCTAGTTGATCGCCATTTCATCAAAATTTAATATTGTTTATATTAAAATCTAAAAATGTTTGCTTAATATAATAATTGTTTTCAGAGACCACTAAGCATCTGTTATATCGAGATAAACGACATTTGACAAATTCATGTCAGTTACCAGTATACAAATACTTTTGTTCATTGATTTTCAACTGGATAAAATGGGAAATAAGGATCATTCACTATAAATATATCTTGCCTTCAAAGTAAATTCACAATTACAAAACGCTATTTAAAGAGCAAGTTGTAGCAGCCATGATAATTATAATCAAGAGCGGAGGTGTTCAATATTTAGGCATTATAAGCTTTTAGCAATGAAGCTTTGAAGAGTATTATTTTTGAGGTGGATATCTTGACGGTACTCCCGTATGTTTACCAGGTTAGAGTTAGGCCACAATTTTATTCTGATTTTCCTTATTTTAGTTCTATTACGAGTTCAGGGACTGCATGTTTTAGCCAGGTGAATATACCCTATGCCCATAGGCTTCAGTCCCTTCACACAACTTATGTAAAATAGGCGAACAAAATTAGTTACCTCCATACTGGTTCACATTTTTATTGTGAGATGCAAAGCTATGCTTATGATGACAAAACCGGTGCAATACGATTAACAAAACTAATAGACCAAACAGTGGAATCATATCGTCGTACCTCACATGTTTGATGATAAATATTTGGGAAATTACCGGAACAATATATAAGTACAGTGTCAATAACAAACAATACAATTAATAAAGGGAGAAGATCCAACGAAAGAAATTATTATGAATATGGAATGACATATATACTATCAAACAGTGCAAGAAGTATATTTAATATTGATATTCATGATGGAAACGAAAAAAAAATGACTATCAAGAGGAATACCTATGTAATTTCAACTGAAAGTGTTTAAGAGCAAAAAAAACTTCAATATGGAGGTTTTTGATTGAAAATGAGTAAAATTGTTGTTTAAAACCACAATTTATAACATGATTATAATAGGATTATGTTGAATCATTGATGATAATACTTAAACCTAAGTCCCAAAGAATATGAAACTATCATATTTTGAAGAAATACTTGTCGCTCTAATTTCAAAGGATGGATAAGAAGGCTAGTGTAGCCTTGTTGGCTTTGAAAAACTAGTTACTAATAAATAGCTCAATGACCGAATTGTTAGTGATCTTAAACCTTTCGACAAACCTCAGGATCTAGATTCTGTGTATATTACAAACTGAATTGAATCTGTATACTGTATGATTAAAATGACAGGATAGCAAGAAATATAATTTTCTTATTGAAATGATTCATGACTTCAGCCAAGTCATACCCATATATGGGGAAATCATTGATCCATAGCTCTTTCCATTATGACATCATAATAATCATAGTTGAGTCACAATGCTTTCTTCCTCTTCATCACTATCTTCTGTTACAGAAGCAGTCACAACCGGAGCATTTGATAATTCTGACATAAGACTGGGACCACCCATGCTGTCCAGTTCAGAAGGAAGTGGCGGGGGTGGTAAATCTGGCATGGCGGGACTCAACGGGCCAACAGGCTCATCCCCTTCAGCAGACTTCGGAGCAGCGTCAACTTCCTCTTCAGGAATAGGTGGGGGAGGTTCATCGGGTGGGGGCAATTTTTCAGAATCTGATTTAGCGTGACTTTCTAGTACTGACGTCAAGTCGGGTCTTTTTCTTACTGGGGGTTTAGGTCTGGGTTTCGGATGGGGAGCAGGATCTGGGGCTTCTTGATTAGATGCGTCAGGTCTAGCGGGGGGAGGCATATTAGGTCTTTGTTTCATTGACATTCGTTTCGATGCGACCGGGGGTTTTTGTGACGCAGCACTTTGACCTGTTGTGACAGGTGTAGGCGAAGTCCTGCAGCATGAAAATAAAAAGAATCATGCAAAATAAAAAAAGTCCGGGAAAAAGATATGCCAGCACAACACCACTAGAAAACAGAGAGGGATAAAGATAAAGAGAATCTTACATGCAGAATAGAGCAGTTTATATATTGCCAGCAACAGCCTCTAACTCTAATCAAAGATCAATGTCATTCCAACAAAAAAAAATAGTATTCAGAAACTGGAGCTGAGCAAACAGCCGAGTCATGAAAATGACGGAGATGATAAAAGGTGTGAAGAGTTGGGTAACCATACCTTGGGCCAGGTGGAGCAGGTGGGGCCTTCTTCTTTTTCGATTTTTGTAGAGTATTTGTGTTTTCTCCCTGATGCTGATGACTGAATGAAAAAATATAGCAAACTATTATGGAATCAGCCTAACAATGGAAATAAAAATAGCAGGTACCCAAAAATTTTAGTTCGTGCGACGCTAAATTATCAGTGAAAAACCTCACAGCGCACTAATAGAAACATGTAGGCCTAAAGAATAAAAGCAATGTGAACTTTTCTTCGTTAACTCTCTGCCTGATTTTTCATTGGAATAGTGAAAAAACAACTCATGTTCGCAAAACTTCTGCAGATAAAGGAACTGCAGCTCGCAAATTACAGCAACTAGTGTCTATCTCTATTGTTACATAACAATTGCAGCAGACATTGTGTAACAGTAAGTAAACGACATGGACATACTAAGGTAAAAAAAATAAAAAATTTATGATAAATACAATCTGGAAGATATTCAATCATATATTAGTTATGTTCAACACACCAAGTTTCAGGCGCACTTAGTAAATCGCTAGCGCGCCGCCCTTTGGAAACACCTTGTTTAACCATTTATAAGTCACTTTTTATGAACAAGTCTGGTAGCAACCACTGACTTTATAGGTCTGATAGGATGTTGTCCACAATGCACAAAAATTTTGTAACCAATGATGACAATCGGAATCATAAAGTTTTAAAGAAAAAATTGTGATAAAACAAGATATCAATGATATGATTGATATGGGGTAGTAGACTGCATCTAATATTCCCCTATATGTGACTTGCAAATATAAAACAATTTTAATAATCTAAAAGCGGACATAAGTTTCACCACTTATAGATTCCATTATGTTTGCTTTAGGCATGACCCAATTCAGATAACACAATAAGGACATTTTTTTCATAACTTCAGTTTTAAGATTACTGAAACTTATGGGTACAATCATACACAAACAGAAGTTAAAGTATTAAAGAAATAATTTCCATTTTTTGAAAAAGTAATTGAGAAATTTATTGGTCCTGTTTTTTTGGTCCACCCAGTATTTAAAGCTATACTCACTGGTTTAAGACAACATTGGCATCAGAAGATGAATTCCTAGAATGCGAAGGTGATTTTGCTGCTTGTGGGTGACTGTGGTTGTTTGTTCCAGTGTTGGATGACGATGATGAAGTAGTAGATGGTTCACCTGCTGATCCCGAACTGGGAGTTCTACCATGACCTGAATTTTTCTCCGCTAGATGAGCAGGCAGTGGAGGTATTTTGAATTCTGGCTCTGAAGGGTGATTGCAAATAAACAATTAGTTGTGAGGCATGAAAACCAACTCAAGTTTCATAATAGCCACTTAAATAAATTTTTATAAGATGTTATAATATTTCATAATTATTAAATGAGAGTCGGGATTTGAGTAGATTTTCAAAAAACAAAAATTTTTTTTTAGACGAGAGTCATGATTTGAGTAGATTTTTGAGAAACAAAAAAACAAAATTTTTAGACGAGAATCGGGATTTATGTAGACTTTCAAGAAACAAAAAAACAAATTTTTAGACGAGAGTCAGGAGTTGAGTAGATTTTCAAGAAACAAAAAAACAAATTTTTAGACGAGAGTCGGGAGTTGAGTAGACTTTCAAGAAACAAAAAAACAAATTTTTAGACGAGAGTCAGGAGTTGAGTAGATTTTCGAGAAACAATAACACAAAATTTTTAGACAAGAATCGGGATTTGAGGAGATTTTTGAGAAAACAAATAGGTAAAAATGTAGACACATTCCAAAAAATAAAATCAGAAAAAATTAAACATGCCATGGAATAGCCCAGAAATATCTTGAACCAATATCATTTGAAATTTACTAAAAATGTACAAAATAGTTCACAAATTGACTGTTTCGATATCAGTACCGGTACTTTGTACAAACAAAGCTCCTGTACATTTAGAAAAGACATGTTTTATACTAACAAATTAATAGATTAAAACCAGCTCATGAACGTACCTCCAGGAAAGAAGTAATCCACATAAGTTATCATGCATTCAATTATCCCAGCAACAGAATTTGAAACCATCATATTTGCCCTAGAAATATGAAGTGTTGGATGACACAAGCAGATCAAGTAAAAACTTTGAAAAAAGGATATCGGAGAAGCTTAGAATACTGACAAAATTCAATCAAATTCAACGTGAATAAATAAACAGAACAAGCGCAGGTCATTTGAACATAACTTTCGTGCAAAGTTTTCTAGATTACTGAAACTTTTACGGACTTTTGGGTACGATCATACCTAAACAGAAGTTCAAGTGTTTAATAAATTTTCTTCATTTTCCTAGAAATGATAATAATGAGAATATAGGTCAGAGACCAAAGACTTATCGATCGAAAGTTTGGGGATCCCCAAAACAGTGCTCTCACTCCATAGTGACACCTTGTGTCCCATCACTAATAACTCGCTAATTATACGACATAATTCATCCAAAATCAATAGGCTTCTGGTCCGACATATGATGAACGCACATGCAAAATCTGGAGCAGATTCAATCTCGCTTTCGTGAGATATCGCGTGCATCTAACAGACAAACAGACAGACAAATACCTATCAACATACTTACCGATTAAAATCGATAAGTAATAATAAGAAATTTATTGGTTGTCATTTTTGGGTCACACTGCACAACAACCTGCACTCTTTGTACCAGTCTAGTACAGTGGTTCTCAAACTTTTCAAGTCGCATCCCTTTTTTCGAATTTGTCGAGTCTCACATCCCACCTCTAGCTAACAATAGGCTACAAATAACGGATAGTAAGGCGAGAATATGTTTTATTCAAAAAACATGTTGAGAATATGTGGATGGATGTAAATACCCAAAACAAGGCAGGCAAGATCAAATCTAACAAATATTTTTATTTTTAATTAGCTTCACGTCCCCTCAAAAAATTGTCTATGCCTCCCTTGTGGTGCGCGCCCCACCATTTAAAAACCACTGGTCCAGTTAACTTTGGGGCAAGTTGTGGTTGTGACATAAAACCATAAGACTTACATTGAGAGCGCTGAATCTTTTTCTAAGCATTTTTTACTATTCCTGTCACAAATTTTCCTAAACTAATGTCTTCAACTAGGTACTTACGTAATGTCGTCATTAGGAGCCCATAATAAATTAGGAGAGAGTACGAGAGCAATATTGCCTGCACTCATTTTATTATGTTCTTGACGATCAGAAAGAACTCTACAAAATTTGATGAGATATCTGTAACAAAAAGCAAGTCTTGGAATTTTTTCAAACAGGAAACAAAAAACTTATGAGCCATTTAGTGAAGTCTGTTTGAATTATGACCGAGCAAAAAATTTATTTAATACCTCGCCTTCAACCAGCCCGAGCAAAAGTGAACTTTGCATGTATGATGCTCAGAAAACCACTTGAAATCGATTAACAAATTCAATAAATTTATATTCTAAAAAAAACTATTTGACAACAAATAATAAATAATGTTCGACATAGGAGTGATTAATCATTTAAAGCAGGGGTGTGCAACCTGCGGGCCAAATGCGGCCCACAAGGAAGAAATGTGCGGCCCGCGAAACAAGTTTTCAATTCAGTTTAATCTGGTATGTGCGAGTAATTCCAAGCCTATATCCGAGTCTAATTTTGAACTATGCTCATGGGCATGGCGTTACAATGCCCTGACATGACAGCTAGCTTGCGCGAAATCTTACTAGGAAGCCTATGTTAAAAAAAGGTTCTGACGTTTCACCCAGTTATTTGTACTTGGCCCTACTGTATTAATAAAGGTTGCACACCTCTGATTTAAAGTGGTAATGTAGCATGACAAGAGGATAACAAGTATGTATGTTATAAGACATATTTTCACTTGGCGAGTTTCACACATAAAATCCATACTAGGAAATTTAGATGGATTTGCTGTATATCATGAATCACACTGCAGCAAATTGGGTCAATAGAAGTTATACACGGGTGACCTGCATTTCATAGTAATTTGGATTATTTATTTAGATAAGGCACATTTCGCCATTTTTGATTCAATCTTATCAGAACAAGATTGACAAATTTTCCTTTTGAAATGACCTCTCGTGAGAGGGATTGACATACCTTAGATTAGCTTTATTCTCTGGTGGCATTCTATCAATCAATGTCCAGATTTCACGAAGTTTTGTGTCATTGTCTGATATGCTGCAACAGAATAACAAACATTAATCAAAAAAAGGGTCACAAACTAAATAACAATATAGAAAAACACTGGTTATGAACTGGAATTAGGTAGAAATATGATGTGTAGCATTATAGAATAGTAATTACAACTAGAGCTCGACCGATATCACTTTTTGGCACCGATACCGATAACGATATATCGGCCAACTAGTGACCGATAACCGATATCAACATACCGATATCTACAACCTGAACCCGCAGTAAATACAAATAGAAAGAAACATTCAGTTTCAGTCAATCAAAAGTTTATGTTGAAAAATAAAGCAGTCCTACACAGTGCTTGCATCATTAATAAAAGTTTCGCAGCAAATGATAAGAACACACATTAATGCACAAAAGAAAAAAGGCAGACAGTAAAAAGCTTATAGAAGTCCATTTTGATCCATACAGTAGTAGGTGGAAGTAGGCTTGCACGTAATTTACGGAATTATTTCGAGTTACGGAAGGGAAGTTACAAATTACGTAAACTCGTAATTATTGGTCGAACGCTTTCGCGTTTGAAACGGGCTCCTTCCAAGCAGTCAATTCCGTCGATTGTAAAAAATGAAAGTTTAACAAGTAGAAGAGGTTAGAGTTCCGGTATTCGCAGCCGTTTTGAGCCGGCATGACGCGTTGCCACCCCGTTTGAGCGTTTGGTTTCACGGTCAAAACGATATTATTATAAGCGTTATCACCGTAACGCAATTAACACCGACAGACTTTTTTGTCTTCACGATTTGGTATCTTTTTTATTCGGCGCTGATAATGATAAATAAGAATGTGTGATAGTTGATTGTAATTCCGGAAGGCATATATTTCTTTTTCTCCGTGAAACAGACATGAAACGAATTTTACCGCCGCTATAATCGCTCAAAAGGAGAGAAGGCTAGGCTACTTTCTTTTCCCGACTCAATCACTTTTATTAATACAAATCACAGCGCATTAAAAAACAAAATAGAATTTATTAGCATTAATTTACAACGAGTTACGGGTAAGAATTTATCGCCGGCTAAATAATTAATATTTGATCTAAATTTATCGCAAATAATGTTATAACATTTAGGCCGCGAAATGATTTGATATAAAATGAAGCTTGGTAATCGGAATATCGTCAACAATTCAGCATCAATAATTATTATAAAATGCTAATAGGTAGCAAAGTCGGATAATGTAAAAGACGGAGCAATAACAAGTCTTCGTCGCGAGGCAAGCGCAGGTATAATCAAACGAGAGAATACGCTTGTCGTTGATTAATAACTTAGAAACCCGAAATTTTTATTCAATACGAAAGTCGATTTAAAAAAAGGCAACTATCGTTTCATAAATATCCGTATACCTGTGTCGGTAATGATAAAATTGATCGCATAAAATTGGGACGGTTAATTTGCGAAGGTGATAAAGGAAAATCAAAGCCAACACAATAAAACAAGATGAGAATCAGAATAAATTTAATTTGAATTCACTCCTTGGTATTTTGTCTTTAATAATCTGTCGCCGGCGTGTAGTACTGTCGGTAATATGAAAACCAAACTTCGATGTCCCATTCGAAAAAGAAGTGGATTCAAATGGTTTTTATGATAGGTTTAAACGTGTGAAAAAATATTGCAATTACGGGGTCATTACGTCATCAATTTTTCCGTAATTACGGAATTGATTTTTGTCGATTAAAAAAGAGAGAGATAAAAGATAAAAAAGAAGAGATAAAAAAGAGAGAGAAATATAGAAGAGGCAAAATGAGAGAAGCGAAAAAAGAAAACGCTCGGCCGCAGATATTTCCCGGGGAAAAATACTCATTTTTAGAACGTGGAAAAGCGACTAACGCTGATATATATCGGCCAGATATATCGGCCGGTTGGGCCGATATGATATATCGGCAAATCCGCAATATCGGCCCGATATATCGGTTGGCCGATATATCGGTCGAGCTCTAATTACAACCAAATGTAAAAAATAATAATTCAGAAGCAACTTGAATTGTTACATTTCCATGATTAGTAAAAAAGGCAAAACTCTTCAATTATAAAGTATAGTCATATTTATTCCTACAAAAAGCATCCTTGCATTATATACATACGGATCCGCCAGCGCAAATGCATATTTTAAAAAAAGGGAGTTGGCTTGCTTAACGCAACTGATAGTTATGTTAGCTTTTTCGCTGTTTTCACAATGGACTTCGGACACAGCGACTATTGCTACAAAGGCATCTATCTATAAGTATCACAAAAAAGACTCGATGTTTTGAAAAATTAGTCTGAAAGAAATATGACATCATCACATTAATGCACTAGCGCAGGGGTTCTCAAACTTTTGGTGTTGCGGAGCCCTTGAAAAGGTTGATTATTATTCACGGAGCCCCAAAATAAAAGTTAAAATTGTTACTTTCCGATTAATATTCCTGAGTAAGTTAAACTTACTTTACTCAATTTAAATACCAAACCTTTTTAATAGGGTTAATACAAGTCATAAATAAATTTAAATTTCAAAGATAAATTGTATATACTAAAGCTGTAAACTTGACAGATGACAAACATATTAATAAATTAGGGGTCGAATCTTTTCCCCTCTTGAAATTTTTGGGAGAAAAAGGCTGCTAATAACGTGCGCGATTGCATTTTGTTACAATCGCCGATTGTTTTCGTCATCATAGTGTGTTTTCAAACCTAAAACATCTTTACACCGGTGTTTATTCTCCCTACATCAAAAATTTCCTTCGGCATATACATGTGTTGTTCCACAATGACGACAATAATAGCTTTTATAATCATCGGCGACGAAATGCTCAAAATAATAGTTAATAAAGAGGTAAATTCCCAATTCAAATCTCTTGATTAAAAAGCGGCATTCTAAAATATTAGAACTAAAACTTAAAATGGGAGATAACACTATAAGTTTTGTTTCAGCAGACTCACGTCAGAATAAAAACACTTCTAGAGACATTGTAAATCACAAAATTTGGTGTTATGTTAGGTTTTCTTCGGTTATTCATCGCAGTAACTGCAAAATTGAAACACAGTCAATTAATTATGCGCGCGATGTACCATTTTTCCATTCTGAAACTACCGACAGTGCCGCATGCACTTAAAATAAATTTCAATCGTTCGTATTTTGCCAAGACCTTGTGATTTTTCAAACGGTGATATCTTGCTTAAAAATAATCTCGAGTGCGAAAGAACCAATCAAGTTCAACAAATCCAAATATCGCAAAAATACGACTCCAATTTATTTATAGTTGGCAGTTTATGTTATTTTAGAGTGGTATTTTTTCATTTTTAGTAATACTAAGAGTAATCTCGAATCGAACGTGAGTACCGATGAGCACAAATAAATTATTACGACAAGACACTTTAAATGTTTGCATGAATATTTTACGCAACAGAAATCTCGTTATCCGTTTTTTTGAATCGCCAAGAATGTTGCGCGTAAATTTCCGATTCCAATTTTGAACCTCCTCCCTCTTAAGTATCCTGGCTGCGCTCCTGCTTATAAATAATGTCTTTTTTTAATTCCGCCACTTTGCCATATTTCGAGGCTATATTGTTGTCAAACTTTATTAAAGCTGTTATTGCTTTTAGGAACAGTTTTAAATTAGCCAAGTCAGTATTTTGAAAAGTAATCGAATAGCTCGCGGAGAAGGTAAGGTAGTTAAACTCGTGTAACCACGAGTCACAACCAATAGTCAAATATTCATAAGTTTTAAAACTTATGAAAAAAGTGCTAGTACGGTAAGTTTGAGAACTCCAAGCACACAATTTATACACGACCTCAAAAGCATTTGTACCTTGTTACGGCCAACCAGTCATTATATAAAGCTTGAGTAAGCAATGGATCTGGTAATTCTCGTAAATATTGCTTGAGAGTTCCAGCAACTGCGTGGATATCATCCTGTGCATCGTAATCAGCCATGTGAGTGACGCCTGCATCCGCCAACGCACGAAATTTCTTTAGTTTAGCAGCACCTCCAGCAATACGAAACAACCCCTAAACACAAGGAATTATTGACATTTTACAAAAATCGTTGATCAATATTGAAATGGTAGTTCACGAAAGAAAGTAATCTTCGTATGTAAAATTTGACTCAGATGAGAAGTCTTCTTGTTATTAAAACAGGGATTATAATGTCGTTATATTCAGATAGCAATAATTCGATATAGCTCATAAAGACCAGTGGTGAAAGAAAGTAATCTTTATATCTTTTTAACAATAATTTGATAAAACGCATAAATACCAGTACACCCTAGACAAGGGGTGGGCAAGGTTTTTGGACTGAGGGCCGAAAACTTTGGCCAACTAGACTGGCGGGCCATGTAAGTGTAATGCAAAAAGTTACATTTTATGAACAATATTTACAGTGTTACAAAAGCAAATAAGGAAAACAATAACCCTTGTGCCCAAAATAAATTTAATCGCATTTAATCTCCATAAATTTCTCAGCTATTTTTTAGCTGAAAAATCAAAATTTGGTTTTAGTTTGGTTGTGGCGGCATCAGGTGGTCCAGATTGAATTACCCAACAGGCGCCGTAGTTTGCCGTCAGCTCTAGACCTTGTTTCTCTTTTAAAAATAACGCTCTGATACAGACACTATGTTATGAAGCAAAAAGTTATCTAGTTTTATACAAATAAGCATGACAATATCACAGTAAAATACTTGCTGACAACATACCATTGTGGTCATAAAATCTGTTATTTATGAATCATTAACTACAGTACATTGAGAGAATGGTAGCTGAATGGATATTACACAATCAAGCTTGAGAAACACTTGATCACACAATTCCCATGGTATAAACCCGAGATTAATTTACAAATATCACCGAAATTGTAGTTTCGCTAATGAGAATAAATTTTGACAAGATTCAGATCTGTAGATGTCTTAATACTCAAGAAGACAAAAAGATAAAAATTATCGTGAACTAATCTTAAAATCCAGAATTCATTATATCAAATATCACTATTTTCAAATGAAATTGAAATGCCTAAGATTTGTATATGATATCCTCGCTACATACCTCCTCATATACACCAATCTCCAAAAGACAAGATATACAAGCTTCTATTGGCATCGCAATCTCACGTTCTGATACTCTTAAATGCTCGACCAGCGAGGTTCCGTAAGAAGAATGAACGCAAGCATTTGCTGAAAACAGAATAAATCATTTCCAATTATATCATTGCCAACTACGGAACAAGATAAATCATGACAATTTATTAAGCTGGAAGTGGGCAGTCTGGTGGTTGAAAAAGCTTGACCTAAATATGAAGGCATCATAGGTTAAAATCTTGGGTTCAAATCCCATACCCACCACATCACTCAAAGTGCAAGATATCGAGTAGGCAAGGCCATACCTAAAAGTTTAAGATGCCTCCAAACTATAACAGTAGCTTAACTAGCCATGTTGTGCTAGCAAAAGACATATAAATATGTGGTATAAAAATATACTAAGCACAGACGGAAAATTTTGAAGCTATGGTAGAAACACACAACAGGGATTCTCAATCTTTCACCTGTTAAATTGGCCCAGGTAATAAAAAAATAATGCCAACCCCCAGAAAGCTAAAACCAAATTAGGTGTTATTAATACTATTATAAACCAAAGGTCACCAATTTGAAATTGCATTACAAAGGATAGTAGAAAAAGTAGTTATTTCAAACACTCAAGCAGTAGGCTATAAAAGTTGTGCCTGTTTTTTGCAAATATTTTTCCTTATTCCAGCAGTGTTATAGGGACGAGTCATAAGTCATGCTCTACATCAAAATCAAATAAACATAGAAAGTAGAAACTCAACCGCCATCAAAGTATACAAATCGACAACCAAGCTATGTATAATAAAGAATGTTCGGAATACACGCCAAAAATAGGGTGATTGGACAACTAAGCATTGTAAATTAATTTTATATTTCAAATTTTCGGTTTTGAAATAATGCAAATAATCAGTCAGTTTAAAGTTCCTAAAACCATGGTCACAAATGTTATTTTAATATTTTTGGATGTGATGATGCAAATCTGAAGATAGTATAATAAAACATTTCAGGTCCTTTGGCAGTTTTCTGCTGAAAATCTCAAAATACTAAATAATTTAGATGAGGATATTTCTAAACTGACTCGATGATTAAGACACCCTATATCAAGTTGTGAAATAGAAAAATAGAGTGATAGAAGATTTGAAATTTAGAGTTTTCATAAACTATACCTTGTGCAGCTTTTAAATCAGGTTCCAAACGTTCAAGATGAGCTACACATTTCCTGTGATATTCAAGCTCTTTGGAAACATACTGAAAAAAAATGCAAGAAATAATTAGGATGAGATTTTAGATAATGCATGAAATTTCTTAAACTTATTTAAGGTATAAATTGCAAAACAAAGAATTTAATAAGATTTTCCAAAAAGTTTTGAACCACTTCAGCAGAGTTTTATTGATGATAAAAATAATAATTCATTTAGAGGTGAAAAAGTAACGAAACAATGTATTGGAATAATAATATTCCAGTTTTGAAGATATTTTAATTAACAGAATCTATGACTAATTGCAAAAGTCGCTGGTATAAATTTTAATACCAATTTCCATTGGTAAATATATATAAATATATTGATTACCGTAAATACTCTAAAAAATTAAAACTATTCCGAATTCTTGATGAAACACTCATTCAATATGGGAAGTCTATAAACTATGACATCATCAATCAAAACAAAATTGAAATGGAACATATCTCTAAATTATAGATAATCAGGCATGGTCAAGTAATAATAAAAATAATTGGATGTTTTGACAAAAACAATAAATATAAAGTGACTCACATCAGTCATATGTTGAGCGAAAATTCCTTCTTTGGAAAGAAATTCGAATAGCTCTGTGATAAGTTGATCCTGATCAGAAATTGAAAAATAAGTCCATATCAAAAGGTTCAACACTGGACTTCATACTAATTATTAAGAGTAAGTTTATCATTTTAAATTTACTCATTGAACTTGTGAATAAATGATTTTATTTATATACATACCAAAAACAAAAGATCAAAAACATGATTATTGTATGGTATTATTTGTAAAGCCATATTGCTCTATCATCGTGCGTAAGAAATGCAAATAAAATTTTTATCCAGGAATGGCTGACTTTTATGCCAAAAGATATCAGAAGCAATAAATCATAGTTACTTTATTATTGATTCAATCAGAATTTATTTTACCTCCCAAGATGTATTACTGTTATTAGCAATCGATAAGAAGCGTTCTTTTTATTTCAAATTTGAATATTTATTTTATTCAAGAGCGAAATCTTATATATACCTACGAGAAAACCAGAGCTGTGGAATCAGGGAAAATATGCAATCAACTTTAAATTATCGATCCTGAGCCCTGACCCCAGGTCAAAGTTTTGATAATAAAAATTTGCATATCAAACGAGCCTTCTTTAACAACAGACTGTTAAAAATAGCTTGTCAGTTGTCACAACATTTTTTTTTAGTTTTGTAGAAAATTTTGACTCGTATTCTTATCATCAGAGATCTGAAATTCCTACTCTGACCCGGGGAGTTTGAAACTACGACTCTGGCTATGACTCCAATGAATATATGTCCAGACCACTACAGAAAACAGTCATATTTTTCATTCAAGGTTTGCAACAGCAGCTTCTAACCATAATTAATTGGGTATCCAAGTTGCATTTTACAAACTCAGATAATTTAAATAATCATTCGAGTATAAAGAGAAATTATTACTTGAAATTACAGTTAGTTAGCCTTATATTGTTTATATGAGTTTGAAGGAATGAAAATGCATTGTTAATTGGACCTTGACAGTTTTCACTTAAAAAATGATCGAGCTGACATAAGAGTTGAAAATATAAATCAATCGAAACGATGTTTCTTGTCACTATCCTGTGCTACTATCTATCAATTAAACTTATAAATTTATAATCAAGAATAAGGAAATATTCAGTTTTAAATATGCTTGAATGTGAAATATTACTACATATTCGAAAAGAAGAGCAGACACTATCATAATAAGTTCAAATAGGTACTGTTTTGTAAGAAATGATGATCATTCGACATCACATCATGATATTCATCACATTCAGTGTTAGAATAACAATAGAAAAGATGATTGAATGTAAATAAGAGAACAAAAGACCATTATTAACAACCGTTACCTCACATGGCATAAGGATAGGGTTTTCCAAATTGAATAATATCGATTTATATAAATTTGAAGTGAAGCTTGCCAAGCTTCTATCATGAATATGCAATTGTACACCAGTCATTGGTAAATACGTACATCCTCACATATAAGTCGACCCCCTAAAACGATGAATTTATAAAATTTGCATATAAGCCGACCCCACAAATCGTTCGCTCTCATCGTGAGAGCTTAGCTCGGCGTATATGCAAAGATATACGATAATAGTAAATACAGAATTTTACTCGAAGATCGACTGATATAGAGAGACAAAAAGCAAAAATTGTCACCTTGCATAGTTCCATTCTTGAAATGGCAGCATCAAGTTCATCTTTCATTGTATCAGCTTTAGCAGACATAACTTGGATATTAACTCCTGGGTTATATTGTGCTTTATATGCTTTCTGCCATGCTAAATGTGCATTGTCTCTATCCAGTACAAGTCTCTTCAATCTCTCTCGAAGCTTTTGAATGTTGGGTATATCAGTCTAAATTGGTGATAAAACAGAATTATAGCAGAACTTGTGAGTAAGCAAAAATATGCTGATGAATGCGAGTGAGAAAGTAAAGCAATAGGGAAAATGTGAATCTGTGATACGAAATGATGAGCAGATTGTCATAACTCCTCAATTAATAATATTTGGATGAAAACGGGTACTTTTTGACTACTGGCATTAGAATAAACTTGATATCAAACACTGATAACCAATGATATGTAAGTTGCTACTATTCTTTGGGAGGATCAGAATCTTTTTGGTTCGGGAATTGCCTATCCAGTTTATTACACCCTGGAGGTGTGGCATGGGATAAGAATTCGAGAGTGATTCTAACAGTTACATCTAATGTTTAAGCCACTTCATTTCAAATATATTCCAAACAATATTATTTGAATGACAATTAGAAATATAAATACAAAACATACATAGATTTAGTTTTAATATTACATTTATACATTTAGTTTTAATAATATCATACTATGCACGACGAAGCGTTGGGGAATTGCAAATAATAAATATTAGACAGTAGTAATTAATTAGTATTGATTATGCCAACTTGAGATTTCAACAGCAATTAACTGCCATCAATATTTCATCAATTTTAATTCACAAGAATATATTTATCAGTCAGCAAAGCTAAGCTCTGAATGACTGAATTTAATTTATATAAAAAAAAGACAGCAATAGAAAATTGAATACATCGGAATTGGAAATAGAGATTTTGGGAAAATGTTTATTTTTTAGGGTAATGAGTCAATTTAGATATTTAAAAATCAAAATCAAGGACAAGCAAAAATCATGGAAAGGTAAATTATCAGAATACAGACATCTTCACTCATACCCGATCTATAATCATAAGTTTCATCACACAAGCACAGATATTTACCTCTACGAGGGTATGAAGTGGGTCAATAACATGGCCCTCGACAAACATTTCATAAACCGCTCGTTCTTTGGCAATTCCTGTTTCAGCCTCAGCACAAACTTTCAAAGATTTCCTGAAAATTGAAGCATTATTAATAAGATTTATAAATATATACTAAATGTATTAGAGAACTTCCATTCTTATGATAGATAACACCGTCTAACTTTTCCTGTTGGCTTTTGATCTGAGGAAATCACATCATCCCTTTGGGATATGGGAGAAATGGGATTTGCCTAAAAACAGGATTTTGTGGGAAAGTGTAACATATAACAGCATAAAATTTTCATTATATGATCAGCCTGATGCTATTACGTTATTTTTTTGAAGGTACAGTGATGTATTCCTTCTATTCAATGTAAGAAATTCTGAAGAAACTATTACAAACAAACGTTAAATAATTTTTTGGCAACCAAAAAGACTTACGATTAGTCAATCAATAAAAATTATTTTTATATTATCGATTCTAGTCAAATGCCAATTTTGCAAATAAGTCCCCATATGGTCGAATTTAGCAATTCTGATCTATCGGGGAAACTATGGCCATCGAAATATAATAATGAACCTATTACTATATAGAAAGGATGTAGTCCCCATATATGGTCAAACATAACACGATTCTCATCTTTTGGGGGGGGGGGGGGGGGGAAACTGTGGCCATTGAAATATGATAATGATCCTATTACTATATAGTAAAGATGTAGTCCCCATATATGGTCAAACATAACAATTTTCATCTTTCGGGGAAGCTGTGGCCATTGAAATTTGATAATGAACCTTTTACTATGTAGAAAGGATGTAGTCCCCATATATGGTCAAACATAACAATTTTCATTTATCAGGCAACTATGGCCATTGGAATATGATAATGAATGCTACACCTATAAAGAAAGGATGTGGTGATAGAAACCAAGTTTCCTATCACAACAATAAGCAGTCATGAGCTAGAAGGAGGAAGTCACAGTTTCTACTAATTCGCGTAGGAGATATTAGAAATACAATAGGCCGAAGTACGTCATTTCAGAAAATCTTTCGATCTATTTGAAGGTAAGATAGATCTGTCAGTTCAATCAGGTCTGGTCCACATATAAACAAGTGTTTTTGTCCATTTTTGACTCAACTTTAAATACGCCTCTGCATTTTATTATTAATAATGCCATGAGAAACAAGCCATATCGCATTATACAATGCAATGCATATCAGAAATAGTAACCTCAAGACAATGACTAAAGAAGTCTTATACAAATAGATGAATACTTCCATAGTAGCAAATAAGTAAACAAAATATGTAACAAAAAACCACTCCAGTGAAAGAATGATATCTCAGAACAAGACCAATACACGCATTTTCGCGAAATATCATATACTTTCATAAAAGATAGCCTCGATAATTTCATTCTCTTTCACAAAATCACACTTACTGTAAAGCACTCTCAGATTCAGCAGCAAGCTGATTACTTGCTTCTAACATAGCATTGGCAACTGCGGTTTCTGGTAACTTTTTCTGTGAAAATTAGAAAACAATATTTGCTTCGAATTCAAATAATAGATTCTTTATTATTAAGGAACAAAATGTTTGTACGCAATAATTAATGTTTGGTAATATTTTTAATAATTAAAATTATAAAAAATTTTCAATGAGGAATTTGGCATCTGATAATAAAACTTCTGTGAACTGTGTAAAACAGAAAATACGATTAAACAATTTGGTCTAAACCATAACTTGGGTGTTACGGAGTTGGATAATAAATGTTATGTCAAAATTAGTGTTTTGCTTTAGTAATTTTGCGGTCATAATAGCACTGAATGATGTTTGTGTTTGAGTATATTTTTGGGTTGGGTAATTTTATAAAAAAAAATTTAAATTTTGGCCGCTTGGAAACGACCGCTTGGGAACCACTGCTGTAATATATACCAGGGGTGTGCAACCTGCGGGGCAAATGCGGCCCAGAGACAAAAATTGTGTGTTGTGTTGACATATGGACAAGTTAATAAATAACACAGTAAAATGAAATGTCACTTTGGAATCGGCATACATATTTTTTACATGGGATTGTTAAAACATTTAAAACTCTCACCAGTCTTTTATCTAAATCGGGACCACTGGACTGTAGGCATTGTGATATCTTTTTATACACAGATGAACATGCCAATCTTGTGTGTTCGAGTCTCTTTTCAATTAGTAAAAGTTCATCTGTCAATACTTCACTTTTATTAGCTCTGGAAAAAAAAGATATTACGGTATTTAAAAAATATGCAACATTAATAAAAAATGAACTGTTATTACCATCCAAAATAAGTCATATGTCAAAAATAGCGAAATTTAAATGAATCATTCATTATATGAATGTAGCCTTTTGCTGATAATTATACCATTGAAGAAACAAGCCTGCAATTAATGATGAGCACCCTCAAATTTTGACAAGTTGTAATTTTATAACGAATTATTAGGTAAGTTGCAAGATTCTACAGTATAACATCAAAGTCTATATATTTAACACAATTGGGCAGAAAAACCTGAAAAAATCAAGTTATTCAGCATACAAATAGGTCCTTGGTGAGCCTCACCTTCCAATTTTTTGATCGGCTTTAAGCCTATATCGCATTACTTGCTTCTTGAAATTCATGTTGATTTGTGTCTTTTCTTATTTATCGCATTGTCCTAATTTTAATAAGCAAATATAACTAAAACCTTAAGTCTAAAAATACATATTAAAATAGATTGATACAGATATATAATATCACATATGGATAAAAAAATAAATGAAAACAAGATCAAATTACAAAATACAGTTTCTATGAATTAGCAGCAACAATTTAAAAAAATAGACAAAACACATAACTTAGTTATATAAAATCGATGCCACTTTGGTACGAAATCTCACTTGATTACTGTGATCTCAATTGTATACAAAAATGGCACCACAATTGTGTATAATCTCATGAAGACATTCACATAGAATTCAGTCCCTAACACTAACTAAAATCGCAAACCAAAGCAGTACCAAAAAAATATTTTGTACTAAGAAATTTTATTCATTATGATGAATTTACTTTACATAAAATGATAAGATGGGTCATGAAATGATCCAGAGAGTGATTGTGGAACATTTACAATTGTTGAGTGAAGTGCACCAACGTTTCGTACTCGTTTACTCGGATCTGGTAAAAGAGAAGCTTTAAGATCCAAATGTGAAGACAACTTTGGCTTTGGCACTCTGTTTCTTGATGGTAGAGAATATTCTCTGCCTTGCATGCAATGGTCATGTAAAGCCATGGAATCAGAATTGGTGGATCTTGGAATGGAACGTTTAAATTTATTTGGAGTTGTTAAGACAGATTTAGGAACGCTAATTCGGATAAAACGAGGTGATGTTTTTGTACCAGGGTGAACACTGATGTTGGGATCAACAGGTACAGGGTAAAGTCGAGAGTTGACTGTGTAATCCAAAATTCTAGAGTCTTGCGTATCAGCAGGATCTGGAGAGATTGGATATTTTTTTCTTGGTTTAATCGGAGTTAAATATTTCTCATTTGCATTTTCGACTTTTCCACTGCATTCATCCCGATTCGTTTTTCGAAACTCATCAATTTCATTGATAAAATCCTGAGTAACAACAGCCGAAACCCCGCCCGAAGATCTCGGCAGACTATCCATTTCTACGACTCCAGCAATCCAATCATATCCGAGCAAAGGTTTCGGAAGTGGAGCAATATTTTCATCAATGCACTTACTGTGTCTTAGTAAGCGAGAATTATCAGGACTATCAACAGAAAATTTGACTCTGTTTTTGCCTCCTGGTGTGTGCCGAGCTTTCGATGCAAGGATGGATCGTTTCGGAGTCTTCATATTATCGGAAGCCTGATAAGGTTTTGTTGACCGCGTCTTAGATTTTGGACCCATGTTCTGGTATCTAGGAGTCTCTGTGTTATCTTTATATGAAAAAGGAAAGAAATAAAAATATACAGTTATGAGAGCAGACCTATATTTCTATATTTAGCAATTCCTGGATTTCAAATCATGAAAAAAGCAGTTTGATAGAGGGCATGACCACGGGCAGAGAAGGGTCTTACTACTTACTGAATAGAGCGCGAAACAGCGCAGAAGAGAGGGAAAGAGCGCGAAACAGCGCAGAAGAGATGGAAACATTTTTCCTTTCATTATTTCAGTATTTATTAGCGTCTGTGAAATTTCAAACAATTTGATAGTAAACAGTATACAGTGGTAGGGAATGATCACGAGTTTATATCAGTAATCTTCAAATTACCAAACATGACGCACCCGTGTTCAGGTTGTGCATCATCTTGGTGCACTTGGTGTCTTTTCTCTCCCTTGGGATAAATATGTAAATCTTCCTCCTCCTTCTGCGCTCTATTTAGTTAAGTTTGTAAGTAGTAAGACCGGCAGAGAACTGGAGAAAGATGTACGGTAGCCTTTAAGGATAAGATTTCCATATTTATCCCAGGAAGTCGTCATAATAATATGGCAAACCACGGCCTCTTGTCTGCTCATCCGGTTACCATAATGCTGCACTGCACCGGTACCGTACGGCACCGTATCTGCTGTACAGGCTGTACGGTACCGGTACCGGTGACGTTAATACCGTAACGTTACGTCACGGCCCTTTTTCCAACTTTAAATAAAATTTGGTAATCATATTTTACCAAACCGCAAATTACATTTATCTAGATTAGTTTATAATACATTATAAAAGTGGAATGAATGAAGATTCTGTCGACGACGGAACAGCCCAGCCAAGCCAAATGTCAGAATGTCCACCAACGGTCGGAAATCAGATTTGTGTATGAGGTGTATAGAGTCGTAAAATAGAAATCCAATGAATGTGAAATAGGCGGATTTTTCGTCGTTTACCTACATTATAATAACAGCTGGTTATTTAATGATTATTTTGTTCAAGTACGTAAATAATATATGATCACATGTTCTTTTATATAATAAGAATCTAACGATTGATATTTATTATCGGTATTGCAAATAGTGAAATCAGGATGCCTCAATTTCTCACAGACTCTGGACATGGTGGGCGTCACTACAATTTTACGTCGTTGTAAAATGACACTATTCACAGATTCATAGCATAGGTACTATGACTCTATTTTTAATTTTTGGTATTACCGTCCATAACCGTCGCAAGATTTAGTTGTGATTATACTGACAGTGACAGTATTGTTGTTAGTGATACTGAATTTTCCCTAATTTTTTTTAAAAATTTTCCCATATATTTGAACACGTAAAACAGTGGCTTTAATCATCTTTCGTTACATAGAATTTTAGACTTCAGGTTCGAATTCCATGATTGTTTCAGAATCGAATCGAATATTTTTTTGAATCGAATCTCGAATAGACATTTAAATGATTGCGCTATGCCCCCCAGACATATAAATTGAAGAAACATAAAATACGTCACTCAGTTCGCTCAGTTGTCGCACACAATAAGAAACGTGTTTCATCAATAATTCATTTCGAAGAAGAAATTAGAATTGCATTTTAAAAAAATGACTTAAAAATAATGTGGGATTCACATCGACGTTTGAAGAAAAAAAAAATGCCGGCTATTCCAATTTTTCGTCCACTAATCCGATTCAAATAATTTGCTATTGCTGTTTCGAATCGAAATACCCGGCCAAGAGATGTAGCCTTCGTGTAGCGCAACCCAATTTCCATGTTGAAATTATAACAATGATCTGAAGTTTCAGATTGAACATGTTCTTCGAACACTACACTACTATGAAATAAATAGATAGACTACTCTACAAAAAGGACAGATTGTCACCAAAGTTGCTTACCTTTGCTTGGTTTCGCCTTGGACAAAAAATCCACAAAAAGAAATTACGTAGTCAACAGAATTACCTTAAATTTAGTTTGATTGTTTGATATCGCAAACGAAGTGTAGGTTCACCACTCTTCTCACTGGGGCATTCACTTAGATTATGTTTGATTGTTTGATATCGCAAACGAAGTGTAGGTCCACCACTCTTATCACTGAGATTAAATCAGGACGTTATTGGACACGTCAGTGGACATAACGATTGTTTCAATATTATGTTGTTGTTCTTGTTTATCTTCCCTTTCGTCATGATAAAATAGCTTTTCTCTTCAAATACTGGACCAATTGCTATGAAATTTTCAGTGATTAAAGTTGGATTTTTTTCGCCAGAATGGTATTAATTTTACTTATTTCAAAAATTTTTGTGGACTTCAAGCGATTCGTTTTTTATGTTTCAGATTAAAAAATAGCGACATCTTGTGGCGTGTCCATATATTGATAGGGGTACATGATTCTTTTTCCGTTCGATTTTGGGGGTGAAGTTAATGAACAGTTCGGAAACCAGTGGTGTAGGCTAAGCATTGTTGCTTATTTGCTTTTATAATGACGAATAAATAAAGTTTTGCCGTAAGCGCATATGGGTAAAATTCCAAAACTCATTCTAATGCGCGTTAATAATTTGAAAAGTCACCACTCAAAAAAAAACACCCTTTCAACTGCTAACATGCTTCTTATGTCAGTGCGTACCTTTTCATTTAAAAAAAGGAAGACTTGTTTTCTTTGCTGATTCTCTTGGGGTAGGCTACTACTTCTGTCAGCTATAAATAATCAGTACCAACGTTGTTCGATTCAAACTTTGAACCTTAAATCAATAGTAGGTAATTTAATTCGGTATTATCAATGAGAAGAAAGCGAAACGAAATAAATGATTTTTTTCACTTTTCAGTTAAGTTTTGAGTGAGGTTCAGTTGTTTTGAGATACAGTTGATTATATAATATATATAGTCAATAATTCTTTTCGTTAATCATATCTATGGTGACAATATAATCATTTTACAATTTAGCATATAAAATACAAATGAAAAGGTTTTTAATCCAACGCCATCATCTTCTTCAACTTTGTATTCTGAGGTAGCATATAATTGTAGAAAATCCAAAGAATCTTAATTAATCATTCTCCGGAGTGTGCACGCAATAAACGTTTCACGTACATCCGTCATTTTTTGTCGAATAGTCTCCCTCGTGAATCAAACCATATTCATTACTTGATCAATCTCTGAAAATACGTTCCGAATTGACAAATTGTTAATTTTGGTTTGCATGGCAACTTCCGACCATACTGATCCGGGTGAATAGATAAATACTGAACTTTGTTTGCATAATTCATTCTCTACCAAAGCTATTAGTTCATGTGTATCTCGCCAGATAGCGGAACATTTTTGCTCTGGATATTTTGAGCTGATGAATCGATAAAGATCAAGTTTATTGTAAAGCTGCATTTTCCAGCACCGTTGATCTCTGTAATATTCGAACTCTTTTTTGTCTTTCTCTTTTTTCGCAATCTTTCGAAAAAACTCGTTTTGGAAAGTTGCATCTCTAATCTGATGTTTTATCTAAAACAAGAAGCAAACAATGAATGAAAAAACGCGAGTGAAGAATGCTTTTCTTTGCTGACAATGGTATTTGATGTATATATAGAACATATATATTTGCTTTGTCAGTTTCCACTTTTCATGAGATAGGCTCCTTATGGCACTACTGCGCAGTGTATATTGCATTCGCCTGTAAACATTTTAGTAACGCTTCAGTTTTTGGTTGCTGATTTCTAAACATTTTCATCTAACTGGTGACGAATGAAAGTAGTGGGAAAAAAATATATATATAATACCAAATGCTTATTATAATATATAATATTAATCTAATATTGGTAATTCAATATCACATATAAGTATTTATAACTTGACTTACTGTCTCATAGTCCGTAGCAGCAGTTGCCAAATAAAATTTGACTATTTTTGGGGTTTGGCAGTTTGTTGATAAATCTGTCAATTTCTATAAAGTAAATACAAAGCTCAAATATATTGACGAAGGGCAAATGACTAATATTGCCACAACAGTACCAGTGAAATTTTATACAAATGATGAATAAATTGCACTAAACTTCATATGACGATGTGCTCAGGAGTTAAACAAATATTAAAATTAAAGGATGCCAAAATAAAGTGAATATAAACTGTATGAAGGTATATCGCTATTTTGCATTTGGACTTACACATACATAGGTTGCTGGGGTGTGGAGTTATTTTGGCGAAAATTTTCACTTGTTCTAGCCCATTTCTGCAAATATAGATTCTGGTAACATTAAAAGATTTCTCGTGCAATTTTTAATGCTATTATCAATGCTCCTATTTCAATAAACAATCTTAATTTAAAAGAGACTAGATGTCAAAAACAGACAATCTATGGAAAATATGAAAAAAAAATATTCCAGGTTGAAATTACGCATCCAAAATGTACTAACTATCGACTTACCTCTTGAATGCTCAGTTTTCTGCCAGCAAACAAAATTGCTTCCGATAAGTTTGCGGTCTTAACTTTTTTCATTTCAGGACAAAAGTTACGTGATGTTTTACATCTATACTCGAAGTTGTATCTGACAATGATATCAGTTTACGTTATTAACCAATTGTTACTTTGTTTCTGTTTTATAATTTAGATTCATGACAGATGCACTTCAGGTATAAAGTTTTATGCTCAAATTATATTAATAAATTTGTTCATTTTCTTCTGTGAGTGACTGACCGAAAAGCAAGCAAGTTAACTTTTCTCGATGGAACTTAATTATGCCGAGAACTTACCTCCAATGCAATGCAAAGTATACTTGATTTTTCATCACTTCGCTAATAAATTCTGATGCTAATTCTCGAACATATCTAGGTCTTTGTGTGAAGACTTCTATTAATTTATACTTCGTTTCAAAATTGGCATCATATACGTCTTTTTGGGTGACAGATGATAAATCTTTCATCGCTTTCATCAAAATAGGTTTGCTGACGTTTTGTAACAACTTTATAGGATTTTTGTATGTATTGATAAGTACTGCACAAGGTACGTCTGACCTGTTAAAAAATGGTCATAAGTCAGATACGGATTTCTATACAGAAAACAGATTAGTTAGTCTACTTATAGATATATTAGTAAACGGTTTTCGGCACCAAATTTAAAGCAAGCAAGTCAAAATTGAATATGGTAATTATGAACTCTGTGATGAAATTAGCATTCGATATAGAATATTTTCCTAAGGTTGAGTATAAGGTAAACTGTAGAGACGAAAAATTAATAAAATTTAAAACTATCCAAAAGCATGGTAAATATTATATACGAATTTTGATATTTTTCACCTGAATTGATCTTTTACGCTTTGTAGAAATTCTGGAAAACTTTTATGATGTATTTCTCGCACTGGCAGAAGAGGTGGAAAACAATCGGGTCTGTGTTTCTTTTTCACAAATCTTAGGTAAGTGAAATGATCCTTACCAAATAAATGATCATATGAAGAAGTGAGTGACATTCCGCTTGTTTCTTCCAAAAAGTATTGGAAATCACATGATGTGACCAATTCCTGATGCAAATAATATTATAAAATAATACAATTTTCGGAAATTGGAAACTTTCATATCAGTATACAGCATTCCTTAAACTTACAATTTTTATCAAATTCTCTTTTTCAGTTTTACCGACAACTAAAATTGTTGATGAATATTTTTTCCCATTTAATTTTGAAGCAATGTCTTTAGAAATTTAAACGAAAGTAAAATGGAATTAAAGCCCGAACGCGACACTCGTATACTTTACCTTTTACAGTACCTAACCTAGTCTACTAGTACGGCGCGGTCTAAAAACATCAGACTTTCGCGTAGCACGAGAGTGGTCGCAGAAACGCTACAAATAATTTTCGGAAGAGGTCATCACACAAAATCTCGAAGTGAAAAACGAATCACATAGAGCCCCAGAAAGTTTTGAAATAAATAAAAGTAATAGCCTTCTAGCAAAAATACAATCTTCAACCACTGAAAATTTCAGAGCAATTAGTCCAGTTGTTCACGAGAAAAACGTTTATTTCATAACAAGAAGTAGAAAACTACGTACAATAACAGCACAATCTGTATGTGTTGTTTCGTGCCCAAAAAAATAAAAAACAAATAACAAAAAAAAATAGCCGAAAAAATTGGCTTTCACCTGAAATCCAATATCGAATTTTGAATAACACAATTGTTTCATTTTATCCACTGTTGTCAAGGAAACCAACCGAGAAAGAATTTTCAAATCGATTCTCAATGAAGCAGGTAAGGAACTTGTATAATTTGAGTCTTTATCAGCTGGATGTAGTTGGAAAGGAGGAATTACTACTGTCCTGAAAAAGGTCTTAAATTTGGTAAAAAAGTTAAATGTGAAAAAGGAAAAGATCATGAAAAAATTCGGCATATACTTGTAGCGTTGACTTCAGGATGTCTCACTTTGAAGCTCAGTCTACTTGCGGAAATTATCGTCTGAGAGCATGTCCCTTTATTTGCAAAAACAACGTTCTTACAGAACTGGCTTTTTAATTAAGTTCTTATTATATAATACACACGACTTTTAATCATAATAGGGCTGTCTATTTATATTATTATTGATTTCTATTTACCTGTTTGTCATTATTCCAATAAATATTGCTTCTTGTAATGAAAGCATTTCATCGCTCGGCCCATTAGGATTAGCAGGATAAATTATTCTTGTTGGATCCAATTGCATCAGGGGTTCAGAAGTTGGTCCTTTCCAATCTAATTCTTCCGCCCATTCTCGGCAAAGTTCGTTTGTTCCCTGGATAAAAAAGATTAACAGCAACAATTTTTCAATCTAGAAATAAAGTCACAGTAATTAACCCAAAAATGTTTGACAATTTATTTTTTTATCGTATTATTTCTTGTTGACTATAGTTTTGAAGTAATAAATGCGAATATGCGTGGATCCTGGATTAGACTTAATTTATTACATTATTTCCTTGTATATTCGAGATTAACATGTTAGTAATGAGTATAAATATATATTGGTGAAAGATAAATTAAAAGAATAGCAGAGACCATTGTGACAACTCAATCTTCGTCGTTTCTATGCAAAAATACTTCTCTCTGGGTAATTTCTCTAATTACATAAATAAGTGAAAACAATAGTTTGAACACAAAAAATATCCTGCAAAGCTAAAGTAATGGGTTTTACCTTATAAAATTTCACTTCTTTACCAGATTCGCTTTTCCATTCATGCATAGAAAGTAGTCGAAATATTCCGTTAACTTTTTGAGAATTGGAATAGGCTGCTAAAACAGCAAAACATTTACGAGTACATGAAATCGAACTGGTTGTTGTAGTGCTTGTTAAATCAACGGAATATATTGCATTTTGATACACCAGAGATACGCAAGAAGTTATATTTGCAGGTTTGCAGCAAAATATTTTGTATGAGAAAGAAGAAAGTTAGTTAGACTTTACAATATTTGATAGAAATTTTGATGATATCAAGGTTTAAAAAATAAATTCACCTTTTTCACCAAACGTGTTTAATTCTTGTGGTTTTCTTTCTACATCCTTTCGAATATTCAGTCGGGAACATGGAGAGAAAAAGAATTTCGATGATATTGCCAAGAACATAACAACCGTAATTAACCGTGTGACTTTTATGTGTGGGAGGTATTTTGACAACGTCATTCCAAGCCAAATTAACGTTTACATTGCACGAAGGCAAAACTTAGTGAAGTTAAGTATGCATAACAATAGGCATGATGAATAAAAATATCGACAGTAGCACGCACCCTTTACTGCTGCATATAATAAGAATAATTGCGGTAACCATTCTACTAATTTATGACACTTAAACATTATTACTGACTTTGCCGAAAACGATTTTCCATATCACATGCGAATAACTAAACTGATGAAGGCCAAGCGTAGGAAAAGTCTGAAAAATTTTGGGGAAAATCTGGACCAAATACAACGGGTAGAATAAATTGCCTGGGGCAGCTTTTCTCTTGAACTAAATATCAAATTTACTTGAAGTAAATTGACGCATCCCAACGAATGGTACCGACGATGACGGCGTGTATCGTATTTCAGTAACATAAAATAGTAATGTCCAGTTTTGGAATGATTCTTAATGTAGACTTTAGCAACCATCATCATCCTCATATCGGGCGAGTGGCCCGGACCGATTTGACTATATCCTTCCACAGCTCTCTATTGTCCATAGCATTAGGGAGATCTGCAAGATGTAAACCAGCGTCTTCAACTGTTGTCGTTCCATGCTTAGGGTCCCAATGCCCTCCAAAACGTGTTTTTTCTTCCCTTATTATTGAGGAGATTCTAGGCATCTTCCCATACAGTATACTTAACATTCTAGTGTAGGCTCCGTCCAGTTTGGCTACAAGTTTTTTGGTGAGTGACCAAGTCGGGTAGCCATATAGTGATACTGACTCCACCACTGCTCTAAAGTTTTTCTTAACCTAATAAAAAGCAGCAGATAACTACAATTCTGTGTTAACGTAATTTAAGGTCAAATGGCGGAGCAACCTTGCACACTTGCTCAAGAGGGATCGGAGATACAACTGTACTACCGATTTATATGTAAGCGTTAGCATTTGCCTGATGTCTACAAGTCCTTAAAAATCTCAGACACTCAAATTAAAACAGCTTTTTATTCAGGTGTAAACAAAATTGAAAGACTTGAATCAATCAATTTGAGTCAACTGAGTAAGAAGCTGAAACATACAGGTTGTATCATAACTAGGGTTACCATATATATATATATGTTCTGACATGAAAGCAGGACGCCACCAAAGACAATGGCTGTTTTTGTTTTTTTTCAATTTTCAATTTACCGATTTTACATTAGGGACCTACATTTAAAACCATCCCGGCATCATTGACCATATTGTCATCATGTGCTGTCTGTCCAAATATCGGTGTCAGTTTGAAAAGTAGAAAGGAATTTACGTTAAAGTTAAGCACCCATTTGGCGCACCGGGCTTACACGTAATAAATTGTAGCAATCACCCGCTAATGTTAGCGGAAACAACGAAACAAACAAAACCACGCTACACAGAAACAACAGTATCGAGAACATGTTAATTGGTAATGTTCGTGTATTATGCTGAGGACTGGACGCCAAAGCGGGACTTTTGGCTGATCGGTCTGGACGCCGGGACAAGACGTTGAAAAGTGGGACTGTCCCGCCTAAAACGGGACGTATGGTAGGCCTAATCATAACCGTACGCTGAGATACCACCACCATTGCCTTTGTTTCAAGGCTCAAGCTTTGGAATCAAATAATGAAAATTTTTCATTTTGTGCAAAATTTGAACACTAGTAGCATTTTTATAAAGGAAGCTAGAAATCGTATTTGTATGAAAATGGAAGGGTGTTCTGGAAGCAACTCTTCGGGAATTTATATAGAATTGGAAAACTATTCTATTGCATTCTATCTAGCATTTGCTATCTTTGGACGCAGCATCGATATCCACAGCTGTGAATTAAGGCTTGGAATATTCTAGTTCAGCTTCACTCAACTTACCTGCAAGTGCGGCATCTCTGAGTTGCTTACTATCAAAATTAAAGTTAGAAATGAACTTAAAATTGAGTTCTTTCATTCGATGCGTATTATCTATTTTCCAAAAATTGAGTTGTTTTTATCTTTGCATGGCATTAAACTAGACTATAGAGAAGCGGGCGCGATTGCTTGAAAGATATATATCTTTATTAATTGTCAAATTAATTGTTCTCATTATTGTAAAAACACAACTAATTCTAGTCTACATATTCAAAGCCATTATTTTTAATTTGTAAGCTACTAACAAAAAGTTGCTAAAAATGCTAAAATATGAATGAAATATTTAGATTCCAAAGTCAAATATTTCAACTCTGTATTTCTTTAGCTTAAATATATTCGAAGAAAGTCCAAATGAACTTGGAAAGTGATATATATGTCATATGATGACTTGAAAAAATCATATTCATGCGTTCATATTGTTTTATCTTATAATGTTTTATCTAAAACAAGAAACTTTGTTAAAATCACGAAGACTGACTTTCTACTTCTGATTTGCAAACTCAAATCTATTGTAGTAAGGGAAGGTATACAAAATCTCACTTTTCCAGATATTTTGCTAGAAAATGATACATTACAGATTTGCTGTGTCAATTTCCACCTTTCATGAAAGACCTTTCCATGTTTCATGTTAGCGCTTCCGGCTTGCGAATATCAAATTGTAAAAACAAGGGCCCGACCGATACTGCCTTTTCAAACCGATGCCGATAGTTTTTATAAAACTAGGCCGATAACGATTTTCCTCACCTAAAAAAAGGCTACAAGTAACAAGCAACACTCTGAGAATTTTGTGTTTTCCTTGCAAATTAAATTAAATCTATAACAAAATGTTAAACTCATGCAATGATGACGAAAAATTGCATAAAAATTACATTTACACTTTTCTTTGTGCATCACTGGGTTTAGCGTCTCGGGACGGGAAAGCGTTTGCCCGAGTATTGGGAATTTTTCAAGTGACATTGGTGGGGGGGCAGTGTTTTGAGTATTTGATATAAATGAAAGGTGTAGGTGTCGCTGCCTGAAGACCTCTTGAGGTCCCTCGCGACTCCTGTCACACAATTTAAGTTAGTTTCCACTTGTATTTGTAATATTTTTTCATATATCGTACCATGTTTAAATTGTGTTCACGAATAAATGATGATTGATTAATTGAAAGTAAAAAAAAAATGTTTATCTTTAACCACTGAAAATTTCCGAGCAATTGGTCCAGTAATCAAAGAGAAAAGCGACTTTTTAGGTTTTTCACTAGGTGTCCAAAAAAGTGTCAAAGAACAACAACAATAACAACAACATAATATTGAAACGATCGTTATATCAACTAACGTGTCTAACAAGCGATAAAACTGCTTTCCCGGCGTAATTTTGACACTTTGGCAGTCACGTGATTGGCCGATAACTATAGGTAAAATTAGCCGTAACCGATAGTTCGAAATTTGTGAAAAACATGGCCGATATATCGGTCGGGCCTTAGTAGAATCGAATTCAATTCATCTTGTATATTGCAATAATTCACTTCTTTTTGGGTCGCATTGAGGCTCAAAAATCTGGCATCACCTTTAAATTCATATCTAGTAGAAATCCTGTGGTACCCTAAAAACTATACTTCTCGGCCATCTTAATTAGATCTAAGAAGCCCTGGTTACGTTGGCCCATAACCCGCATTGGTTATAGAATCTATCGTCATCAACTAAATTGTGTGTTCATTTTTCTACGTAATTTTGAATTTTATTTTTAGCTGTTGCAAAAAAATAAACTTGACTGTGGCTGTTTGTATTTTTAGCATAGATATATTAGTAAAAGGTGCCATTTAACTTGGGAACTTCATACGCCAAAAATGAACGAAATATATATTTTATGTGCGTGCAATTGTTTTAGTTTACTGTCTGTCATGAAACGACTTGAATTAAACTGTATTCATCAGTTTATTAATCTCTGAAAAAACGTCCCAAATCGATAAATTAATAGTTCTGGTTTGCCTAGCAATTTCTGACCATACGGATTTAGGGGAATGGATAAATACCACACTCTGTTTGCATAATTCATTCTCTACCAAGGATATGAGTTCATGTGTATCTCGCCAGATAGCAGAACATTTTTGTTCTGGATATTTTGAGCTAATGAATCGATAAAGATCAAGTTTGGTGAAAAGCTGAATTTTCCAGCACCGTTGATCCATGTAATACTCCAGGTCCTCCTTGTCTCCTTTGTTTTTTGCAATCTTTTGAAAAAATTCTTTTTGAAAATTGGCATTTTCAGTCTGATGTTTTATCTGAAACAAGACGTAAGTAATGCATGAATAAACCTAGCAGACTTCAGAACGATTGCCTTCTTTTTTCTGAGCCACAGACACTAATCTACGGTCATCATAGATCTTATAATTTAGTCGACATTAAATTGAATGTAGTATGAGTAATAACTTGATGGAAATTCGAATAACAAGAATGCTTTAACTGTAATGATTTTCATGTCCGTAAAACCTAATACTTTCATGACAGGCACGACTTTGAGAGCATATGTTAAATGGAAACCGTTAGTAAGCATTTTTAAAATAAATATAGTGTGTGTATGTAAAATTTTTTTTTTATAATTTAACACTTATAATTCAATATCCCAATGTAAGTATCACTTAAAAGTCGACTTCTCAATTATCCTACTTACTGTTTCATAGTCTGTAGCGGCGGTTGCCAAATAAAAATTAACGATTTCCGGGCTTTGGCAATGGGTTGACAAATTTTTGATTCCCTGCCAAATAAATATAAACATAATGACAGAAAAATTGGTTATAATAATTCACTTCAAAATTGATATAATTCGATACACTCACGGATATATTTATAATCCGAGTTCAATTTGTATGCACCCAACATTAGTTTTGTTAGATATTTGCCAGCTAAACTAAAAAGTTTCGGTTTTATTTGCTAATCATACAAATACATTAAATTACTTTAAATTCAAGAATCTTGATCAAACGCACATATTATTTTTATGAACAGACAGTTTGTTGAATGATTAAGATACAAATTATCGTTAAAATTGTGTAGACTCTATTCACCAACCAAATACTGTATGTAGCCTACTGCCTTACCTGCTGAACCTTGAAGTTTCTACCAGCAAACAAAATTGCTTTCGATATGTTAGAAGTTTCAACTGTTTTCAATTCAGGACAAAAGTTAAATCTTGAACGACATCGGAACTCAAAATTGTATCTGGTAATGAAATGTAAAAATTTTATGAAAATCTATTTAATCCAATGTAAAGTTTTTGTGGATATTTCATATTATCGAGTACTGCAACTTATTGTTTTGTCTCTAATGTTTTGAATGTTTACCTTTATAGATTTTCTTTTCTATTCCATAATCACGACATCAGGTATCACTCACTGCACTTTTGTTCGAGTATATGAGGTATATTTTAAGAAAACCTTTTATTCAGATATGCTGCATGTCTGATCTACCAAGTAGTTTTCCCTGTAACCAGAATGAAGACTCACCTCCAGTGCAAAGCAAGGTATTCTTGTTTTTTCATTACTTCTCTAATGAATTCTGATGCTAATTCTCGGACAAATCTTGGTTTTCGTGTAAAAACTTCAATGAGTTTATACTTTGTTTCACAATTGGCATCAGATATGTCTTCTTGAGTGACAGAGGATAAGTCTGTCATTGCTTTCTTTAAAATATTCTTGTTTGGGTTTCGTAACAACTTACTTGGATTTTTGTGTGTATTGATAAGTACTGCACAGGGCATATCTGACCTGTTAAACAAGGGGACAAAGTCAAACGAGAATTCATATGCATAATACAAATCTTATTCGGGGATAACTATTAACCTAAGATAGTTAGATTTTGTGTTTATATTCCCATGAAATTGAAATCACAAGTGCGTAAAGTATGCGTAAATACGTATCAAGTCAATTTTGAATGGATTCATTTTAATTATATCAACTTCCTGCCTAATATTTTATTGATCCATATTCTATATAACATAATAGGTTATATTTTATTCTTTACATATATATTGCATTGTATAATTAGAACAGTAATCGGAAATCTGTGGGCCGCTGAGCATTTTCTAATGAGCCCCCAAAAAAATAATCTCAACTATGGCAGTGATGCAAAAAAAGTTCTATAAATCCAACGGCTGTTTAATCTTTGTACCGCCACGTTCACAGCAGTTTTAAATAAAAAATAAATGTCCCTTAACAAGTTTATTACGGGGTTGAATTGAAAATTTTCAACAAAATTGTTAGGCCTTGAAACCTTTTTCATTTTACTATTTTGCACCACACTTAAAAAACTTTGCCGATCACTGATTTAGAATTTATATGGGGTTCTGTTTCTTTCTGGTAGAAAGAAAGACTACCGTTGAGTTAGGAAATTGGAAAAGATTATGCTAGTTCTGGACCAGGAATGTGTAATCAACGATGCGATATCGAACATAAGTCAAATGCTAAAGTGTAGATTTAATGGGAATAGTAAACTAGGTAAAGCAATGTCAATAGTCCTAAACGTAAGGTACAATTTTTGTCGCTCCCGTAGTATGTGCACCAAAATGGCGCACAGCCTGAACCCTAACCGGTTACACATACTATGTTCAGGTTGTGCGACATTTTGGTGCACATATTACGGGAGCTCCCAATTTTCTAATATTTCTTACTTGAATTGATCTTTAACGTTCCTGAGAAATACTGAAAACTTTCTAAACGGTATTTTTCGAACGGGTAGAGAAGGTGGGTCGCAACTATTATTTTTAAAAAATGTTAGGTTAGAGAAACCATCCTTGCCAAATAAATGCTTATGTGAAGAATTAAGGGACATTCCGCTTGTTTCTTTTAAGAATTTGCGAAAGAGACAGGTTGCTCCCGATTCCTTATGAAAAAAAAAATATTAGTAAATGATGCAGTTCTTGAATATGAACTTTAGAACTTTAATAATGAACGTAAAAAAACTAAAAATAAGTAATCAAACGGATCCGAATGAAGAAATTTGTATTTACCTCAAATCCAATGTCGAAACTTGAGTTACACAATTGTTGCATCTTATCTACCGTTGTCAAGGAAACCAATCGAGAAAGAATTTTCAAATCAACTCTCAATGAAGCAGGTAAGGAAATATCATAATTTGAGTCTTTATCAGATGGATGTGGTTTGAAAGGAGGAATGACCACTGTCCTGGAAAATAAAATTCCATTAGCTAAAAAGGATCAGATTTGGGGAAAAAAAAGATTTATGAAAAATAAATGTTTGAGCGCATACCGACTTCGACGACACGCCGCTTTATATGAAAAACATATAGTTTTTGAAGCACTTTCACTATAATCTAATTCCCATTAATCATATATAACTTATTAAAATTATTACTTATTCAAAATAATGCTGACTATATATTATAAGGTTTTATACACCTGTTTGTTTCCATTCCAATAAATATTGCTTCTTGTAATGAAATCAATTCATCGCTCGGTCCATTACGATTGGCTGGATAAATTATTCTAGTTGGGTCTAATTGCATCAGGGGCGTGATAGTTGGTCCGTTCCAATCCAGTTCTTTTGTCCATTCTGGGCAAAATTCGTTCGTTCCCTGGATATTTAAAGTTGAAAGCAACGTACTAAATGGTGAATGAATAGCATTCACAATAAATTAGAAAGAAAGTATATAATAAAATGTACTTAAAAATTGAAGTTTACCTTATAGTATTTTCCTTCTCGTTTAATTTTCCGAGATTCATTTTGCCATTCATGCATAGAAAGTATTCGAAATATTTTTTCAACTTCTGTAAATACAGCACAACAATTACAAGTGGAAATGAAAACGAGAACACGTATTGATTTCCTCACACGGGCTTTAATTTTGCACGGAGTACGTGATAAGCTTCATATTGGGCAAGATATGTTTTCAATGGAGGGAGTTAGCCAAGCCTAACAAGTTTTGCTAGAAACATGTGCTAATAACTTGAGTTAAAAATCATTTACCTTTTTCACCAGGATTATTCAAATTTTGTCCGTCTCTTTTTACATTGTAGCAAATCTTCATTCGAGAGCATGTAAGTAAAATAAATTGTGATGATAAGGCCAATAGTGTAACAACCGTGAATAACTGTATAAGTTTTCTTAAAGAATGATACTTTGGCCATGTCATTGCAAAGTATTTACATTGCACAAACGCAATTCTTTGTATCGCTACTATAATAATAAGTATAGCAAATATAAATATCAAAAGCAGCACCCTTCCACTGACCTGCTACCTATAACAATAATGACCATTTGACAACGATGTCATGATTGCTAACTTTGCTGAAAACTATATTCTGCATCGTATCATATGGCCTGACTAAACTCATATAAAGAGTAGCAAACTTATAAAATTTTTGAAGTTTTCGGGATAATCTGAACCTAAAATGACTGGTATAATAAGTTGCCCGAAGCACTTTTTTTCGTGAACCATATATCAAATGTCATTGAACCATATTGACGCGAAGTATCAAATGATACGTATATCATCTGATAAATTGATGGCCTGTATCGTAAATCAGTAACAGATTATAATAATTTCAAATTTTAGAAAAACTGGTATTGCTGACTTCAGCAATATTTAGCTCATTTAATGTTAACAGTTCAAACTTATCGCGTTGGTCAAGTTAGTTTAATATTTGAGATCACGATTACGGGGTTCTAACCCAGTTCCTAATACTAGTCCACTTCCTCACCCAGAGTATAATATAAGATCAAGAAAGCTAACCAAAACTATTATTAATCTCACATACTAAGCAATAGTTACTATATTGCTTCTCATTCGTATAGCCATGAACTACTCATAATTTGCATTATTGGAAACGTCAGTGTACATAACGATCGCTTCTATATTCTGTTTTTGTTCTTGTTATTTTTCTCCTCGTCATGATAAAATCGCTTTTCTCTTCGAATACTGGACCAATTGCTTCGAAATTTTCAGTGTTTAAAGATCGATGTTTTTGCCAGAAGGCTATTACTTTTATTTAGTCCTAAATTTTCTATGAATCCTATGAAATCCAATATTTCATTCAAAATTTCGCTGTATCACTTTTTAATAATGGGAACACGGATTCTAATCCGCCAAGCGTGACGGCCGATTCCGAAAATTCTGGCTACTCGAAACAAATCAATCAAATCGGAAGTTTTTTGAGGTTACCAGTACCGGCAATGCTAAAGGTAAGGTAAACTACCGCAGTACTGCTTCGCTTGGTGTCAATATAGTTGTAGACTGTGGTATTTGCTGTGACGTGTCCATATATTTGAGCATAGATCTCTTGTCTTTAGAGGACTTTCACGGATCACGTGACTTTGTTTACGGCGCTATTTTGGACGGCAAAAAAACAAAAACGTCTAGAACTTGCTCCTGTCAATTGTAAGTCGCGTTACTCGTTTCCGTTTTGCTGGGCTGTTAAAAATGGTTATTTCGTATTGTGATGTACGTATAAACAACGAAATGGATCTTCAGTTATATTCCACTGTTTTCAAAAGATCCGGAACGTCCCGCAAGGTAGATATCATCTATTGGGAAAACTGGTTGGTGTTCCAGCCATCTCGCTCGTGTTGGGGGACAGCACTTCGTTGGTGCTTGGTGGTGGGTCATGATGGACTGTTATTGATTTCTTCAAATATTCATAAGCTCCGTCATTTTAATGGAAAACATATGACAAACTACCGTTGGTAGGCATACTTGCGTTTCAAATTGGTAAGAAATCTTCATCAATGGTCAGAAGACATTGTTTCGTTGGTTAGCATGTAATCTAGTACTCTTTTAATAGGCGTGAAAAGTTGAATAGATCAAGTTTAACACCAGTGGTCATGCAGAAAATAACCAGAAGCTCTCAGCGAGATCAATTAATTGATACACAAACTTGTAAACTTGCACTGTACAAATGATGATTGGTGTGTAATTTCTTTTCAGGAAAAAAGAATGATAACCCATTATCAGCTGATTATGTTCCATCAATATTGAATTTTCGTCATTCCCAGAGAAGTAAAGAATAGTTGGAAGGAAAAAGCTGGACTTTGAAGGAAGGCAAAAGGCAGGGATGAAGTGTTGAAAAATTGAGCACAGTATACTGCAGCTAATCTCAGCGAAAAAAAAATGAAAAACAGGAGGAACAGGAATTTGTGCAACAGAAAATCAGGAAAAGTGATATGAGTGAAGTTGTAAATTTGTAAATTGGACAGCTGAAAGAAAACTGAAATTTTCGTAATTTGCCATTGACTGGCTTGCCCACAGTCAAAATTGGTGGCCAAGTTGTGGCTGATATTCTGAAACTATTTCGTAAAGAAATTGCACTTGCTATCACCATTTCAACAAATTCTGTTAACTTGTATGCGTTGCAATATCACTTTGCAGTTGTTAGCATGAATATTTAACGTTTTTTTCGACTAGACTTTACTAGACCGCATTAATTAGAAGCAGCTCCCAAACCTATTTTCACTACAAGCACCATAACACTGTAAAAATTTGATAGAAATCACCCCTCAAGGCATCATATCTTTCATTCGAAAGGGCTGTGGAGGTAGATACATTTTTGACCCCAAATTATGGAATGTTATTTCCAGGTGATCTTATCCCTGCTGATAGAGATTTCGATGTTAGTGACTCTAATTGTCCCATGCATACCACACTGAAAATTCCCGCGTTTACCGAAGAAAAAAAGTTGTAGTCTTGAAAACAGTTGTATATTCTAAGCACAAAAGATTCATATGGAACACGTTATATGCATTTATAAGCAAAAAATATCCCATCTGAGCAGTACCGATCCACAACCTCTTGCCTATGGAATCAAAACATTAAACATATTGGTGTACTGTGCGCATTTACAAAACTTTGCGAATCAAGTGTGCCTTTTGACGAAGGGTGTCCAAATCAGGAAAATTTCGCTTTAAAATGGTCAACCTCAATATAAACCTGGCATCTGCAGATAAAACCAATTATTTTCCAAAATACATTTTTGATGTGTTTTATACTTCAAATATAATTTATAATTACTCTAACAGTGTGTGATACATTTAGGTACCGTGGGGCGTGGATACCATTTGCAAATAAGCTTATAAAGCACCCCTTTCAAATAGAATTCTAGACTCTAAGTCATATCATAATATTCTTTGAACAAAAAGTTGCAGCTATCAGGATTTCCTTTCAGATCATAAGTTCATATGGCGAACCACAACCTCTCCTACAATTATCATTCTATGTCGGGATTAGTTAGCCAGTTATTTGTTTTCAGAAGCATGGACTTGATGGAAGAGGATGTCGTAACCGACCAGAGGTTAAGTGAACCGCCCTTAGTGGGAGAAGTCCTGCAATTCTCTTGCACATAACTATCCCCACATGACATTGGAACCTCTGAAACTACCAGGGCAATCATAGTTGCGGTGGCGAGCGTATTCCTAGATGGCGAATTCTGGTTATTTTTTGCATGACCTCTGGCGTTAAACTTGAGTTATCTATTCAACTTTTCACACTTACTAAGAGAGTACCATAGATTACTTGCTAACTAGGGAAACAAGACCTTATGCCAATTGATGATTAATTTCTTTCACAAGTCAAGTCTGTAAGTGGACACCCAAGTACCGGTACGCCTAGGGCCCTAGGCCTGGACCCGATAAAAATGTCCATAAAATGATTTATATATGAGGAGCTTATAAATATTTAAAGAAATTGATAACGGCACATTATCACTCTCCACCAACGAAGTGCTGTTCGCAAACACAAGCGAAAAGACTTGGACATCAAGCAGTCCTTGCTGATAGATGATATCCGCCTTGCTCGACGTTCTGGATCTTTTGGAAACTTGTGGAATATAACTGAAGATCCATTTTGTTTTTTATACGTACAGCCGAACGGCACAATACGAAATTAGCATGTTAACAGACAAGCAATACGGAAACTAACTAATAGAAAAATAAAACAGTATAATAAACCACAATAGAACCTTTCCGTGCGCCTAAATTGCACTTCGGTAATAATAAATCAATAAGTAATTTTGTCACAAAGTATCGCTAGTATCTGAAATAGACTTATATTTTAGGCTAAGAAGTGTTCGTAGTTTTAAATAAGATCCATATATATTTAATGATTTAGTGCTTCAAGTTTAAGAAAGACCAAGATACCATAACAAAGATGCATAAAATAATAATGTTTCAGGTACAAAAGTTATCCGATGAAACAAGGAAAAGCAAGTAGATTTGAATTAGGATATATTAGTCAGTTCATCAATCTCTGAAAATACTGCCCAAATTGGCAAATTATTAATTCTGGTTTGCATGGCAACTTCTGACCACACTGATTTAGGTGAATAGATGAATACTTCACTCTGTTTGCATAATTCATTCTCTACCATATCCATGAGTTCGTGTATATCTTGCCAGATTGCAGAACATTTTTGCTCTGGATATTTTGAGATAATAAATCGATAAAGATCAAATTTATTGAATAGTTCAATATTCCAGCATCGTTGATCTTTGTAATATTCGTTTTTTGCAATCTTTCGAAAAAACTCTCGTTGAAAATTGGCATCTTCAATCTGATGTTTTATCTAAAACAATACACAAATTATTAATAAAAGAATAAAAATATACCATAAAGATTTCCTTGTACGTTCTGAATTTCAAATGTATACATATCGGTTCGTAGTATTTGTCATGTTAATTTTCACGGAAGACTGCCGTTAGTGAATCAATAACGCGTTGAATTATCAGAAATTGTGGTCCTTCCAAACATAGTATCCTCTTACACCAGTGATTGATTGTACAAACCCTTGTTAGTAGTGTAATACATAGAAAGGTGTCGTTTGTAAATATAAACTTTATCTCCACTTCTCAATCATTCCACTTACTTCCTCGGAGTCATTAGCACCGGCTACCAAATAAAAATTGACTCTTTCCGGCGTTTGGCAGTTTGTTGATATATCTTTGAACACCTGTAATGTAAACATAAATCGATAACTCTATAATTGATGATTGTAAGAGTGCGTCACTGTGAAGGGGTATTAAATTAAACCATTGATTAAAGTGAGCGCTATCGCCCCCTAGGGACTCAGAGAGACTCATTTAAGAGCTTTGACGTGGATGGTCGATAGAGGTCTGTGGCGCATTTATAAAAAAAAATCATATATAATGTATAGCAGGGGTGGCCAACCTGCTTTCGGCCGCGATCGACTAAAATCTTCAAAATAGCTCGCGATCGACTGATCGGTAATGAGGTCATACACAAAAACGAATGAGTGCTGAATATTTAGATAACTGCACAAATGCATACGAAAAATTACATCGCTGCCAATAAGTTCGGCTGTGTGGGCGCATTTTTAATGAAATCGCCACACAAAAACTGGGTCTAGCGTGGCAATTTTTTAGCGACGTGTTGGCCACCCCTGCTGTATAGTATATGACTGGTGGCGGTCATATATAATGTATAGTGCAAATAGGGGGCGCCGGTAAATAGGAATGTGAAAACTACTGCCTTGAGTTGTTATTTGTTTGTGATGGCTAATTTATTTTTCAGTAGTTCTTGTTCTTGCTCAGAATAGCTACAACTGAGTGGATATTGCTAGGCGCTTTTTCATTTGCTATCCTGGCCATGAGGTGGCTATGGAAGGATAACAATATACAAATAGATGTGCGTTTATTGAAGATTTGGGCATATTTATTGTTGCCGAAGCAACGCGGTAAATGAAGCGAAACGAAAAAGCACCTATTTCTATACTCATTTGCTTTTTGAACCATCCTTTCGTATAGTTAACATAATAAAAAAGAATAAAATAAAATAAAATCGAAGCTTTTCATTACTGATCGATACCGTCATTGAAGTTTAAAAACCCAAATTATTTAACCTTCATATATTGAATAGAGGCCAAAAATCCTTACCTCCTCAACACCGAATTTTGTGCCAGCAAGCAAGATTGCCTCTGATAGGTTTGCTGTTCCAAGTGTCTCCGATTCAAAACAAAAGTTGTTGTGTGAACGACATTCGGACTTAAAGTCGTATCTGGTAATGAAATAAGTCCCTTTCCAAATCTTCAGAAACTAGGGTTAGGGTTAGTAAATCACAAGTTCACTTTGGTTTATGTATCATACTAATGGAAAGTTAAGTTAATTAGAAGGATCAAAAATATCACTTTTTTTACATTTTTATCTTGTGACGATCAGTGTTAATATTGCTGCTGGATCAAGATCTCAATCTGCATGAATAACAAGCATGAAGATCACATACTAAATTTTAACTAAATGTTCATCTGTTAGTTTTTTTTTCCTTTTTGTTTTACATTCAGGTAAGTATTCTTCTATTGAGAGCACGTAATTGACAGAACTCACCCCCAATGCAAAGCCAGGTATGCTTGATTTTTCATCACTTCCATAATAAATTCTGATGCTAATTCTCGAACATATCTAGGTCTTTGTGTGAAGACTTCTATCAGTTTATACTTTGTTTCTAAATTGGCACCATATACGTCTTCTTGGGTTACAGACGATAAGTTTTTCATTGCTTTCTGTAAAATATCTTGGTTTGCCTTTCGTGACAACTTTGAAGGACTTTTGTAGGTATTGATAAGCACTGCACAAGGCGTATCGGAACTGTTAAACAATCAGAGTAAGAGTAATCAGAGTAAGATTTATGTGCAGAAAATCTTTTCAATCTTAAGTAAAAAGTAATAGCGAAAGATTGAATGAACGACGCCCCTTTTCTGTTCATATTTCCATGAATTACAGTTTATTTTTCTGGATTGGTATAAACTTTGTTACCAATGTATATCATGTCAACCTTGGATATGTATATTATTTATTCATATTAAGTTTTCGGTGGAGTACACTAATTACAAAGTTTAATATTTCTTACCGAAATTGACCTTTAATATTTCGAAGAGAGAACGAACTTTTAAAGTGTATTCTTCGAACGGGTAGGAGAGGTGGTATGCATTTGGATTCATATTTCTTTGACCAAATTCTCATGTAAGTGAAATGATCATGCCCAAATAAATGTTTATATGAGGAATTGAGAGACATTCCGCTTGTTTCCTCCAAGAAATTACAAAAGTTACAAGGTGCGTCCGATTGCTGGTAAGAAAGGGGATATATTATTAAATAACGCATCTTCTCAAATTGGTAACAAGAACTCCTTAAAACTAGATCAACCTTCAATGAGCAATCACGAATGAATGATTTCCCAGACATGCTTGTATCCGTGACTCATAGCCCTTTTAAAGATAATAATTATATAAAATAAATAAAAGATATAATAATAATTGTGGAAAAGAATCACCAAACCCGAAACTCAGATAGAAAAATCTGACCTTTACCTGAAATCCAATGTCAAAACTTTTATGACACAATCGTTGCATTTTATCCACTGTTGTCAAGGATACCAATTGAGAAAGAATTTTCAGATCAACTCTCAATGAAGCAGGTAAGTCGATTTCGTAAATTGATTCTATATCAGACGTTAGTGGTCGGAAAGATGGAATGACTACTGTCCTGAAAAATAATGTTTATATATTGTTATATTGCTTTTAAATTTTCATGGCGAGGTAATGTTCGAATGTTCGTGCAGTAAATTTGTGACGACGACGTTAGGATTCCTCACATAAGAACACGATCTAATTTATTCCCAAACTTAATAACGTGCATCCTTTCAAAACAAGCTTATTTCTATGCAATGAATATTTTTTTCAGTATTTATAAATGAGTTTGTAATCTTATATGTTCTTTACAAAATTTATTCAAAATAATGCTGGATATATATTATTACGATTAAGTTTCTATACACCTGTTTGTAACCATTCCAATAAATATTGCTTCTTGTAATGAAATCAATTCAAAGCTCGGTCCATTGCGATTGGCTGGATAAATTATTCTAGTTGGGTCTAATTGTATCAGGGGTTTGGTAGTTGGTCCCTTCCAATCTAATTCTTGCGCCCATTCTGGGCAAAATTCGTTTGTTCCCTGGATGATAAAAATAAACAGCAACAGTATAAATAAAAAGTTCTATATCGCCATGTCCAATCAGAACATACTGACAGAAGTAATAGCAATTAACATAACTTATGAAAGCGTATATCTAAACCCATAGAAATAAGAAAAATAAAACTCTATTTATTCATTTTATGATGTGAATGAAAATTTGATTTATTTGTTTAGGCTATCTCCTAGTGACCTTGTAACTAATCTCTCTTAAGTAAATAATGACAAATTAATTATTAAGTAATAATAAAGAAAAGTATAATTTCTGTAATTTCCAAGTTTTCCATTTTTTCATTTTTGGCCAGTTGTATAAACGATATTTAGGGTGCTTTTCATTGTCGCAATCTTTATATTAAGTGTATATATTTTAAGGTTGAACGTTGTTGCTTTTACCTCCAGGAATTTAACTTTTTTAAAGGTTTCTTTTCTCCATTCATGCATAGAAAGTAGTCTGAATATTTTATCAACTTCTTGAGAACTGGAATAGTCTGTGAATATATCGACATATTTATTTGCAAGTAGGTAATTGGAAAAAAAAAATATCATATTTCATAGTTCTAGTTTAAATAACAGCAAGTCTTTCATTTACAAAAAAAGCAAAGAAGTTACATTTCCAATAGTACTTTTTTTCTTTTATATGTTCTCACCAGGAAAAGGTCGTTACATTCAATAAACATGTTTAAAAATTTGCTAATTACGTGAATTAAAAATCATTTACCGTTCTCGTCAATATTGATGGGTACTTGTGCTCTTCTGTTCATATTGTAGCGAATATTCAGTCGTGAACAAGGTAAGAATATTAACTGTGATGTAATTGCCAACAACATAATAACCGTGACTAGCCGTATTATTTTCGTGAATAAGAAATATTTTGGCCATATCATTGTGATGTACATTTATATTCACAATTAACTACGCAATACCTTCTGCACAAAGCAATGTATAAAAATATGTATAAAAATGTAGATATCGCAACTGTTATCATTCTATAACATACTACCCTTAACACAAATGTTTTTTTTTAATCATGTCTGCCAACATTGTTACTGACTGTGCTGAAAACAATATTCTCCACCGTTTCTTCTAGAACTAACTAAACAGATTGAGGAAAATCTTAACAAAATTGTGAAAGTTCTTAAGTTTTGGGAATTTTCTGGGACGAATATGACGGATAGAATAAATTGCCCTGGGCAGTTTTTTCTTGAACCAAATATCAAATGGCATTGAAGCGAACTGACGCGTCAAATCAACTGATACCGACGACGGTCGAGTGTATCGTATTTCAGTAGCACAAAATAGTAATTTCAAGTTTTAGAATAATTCCTGAAACTTTTTTGTTCTCAAATTTTTTTATTTAAAAAAATGTACGAACAAGGTAAACAACGCTAAACGAAATGGTTATGATCGTAACGAAATAATAGATAGTTACTATTTAGCTCGTTGTTTGCCTCTTGTAGAGCCATATGTAATATAGGATCCAAAAAGTATCGCCCGATTATAAAGTCTTTATAATCAATTTTTTTTTTCAAATATAATTTTTTGTTATAGTCAACCTGTATTTAATTGGATGTTATAGATGTAGGATTTCGTAGTCCCCATATAGCATACAACAAAATTTATTCAAATTTGCAATTGGTATAGCTATGAAATCGGGCGAAACTTTTTGGACACCCTGTATATATATTTCCCGGCTTTTTATACATTTTAATCGAAAACTACGAGCATCGGATTTTTATGTATTATATTTTCAACCAAGTGTTAGTTTGTGGACTTTCCATTGACAATAGCCAAAGAATAGTTCACTGAAGAGAGAATTTCCGCCACCACATTTCTAGTGTTATCAACGATCAGCTGTTGTGGGCTATTATGACATCATAGATTGATACCTACTGTAAATTTATCGAAAACTACGCGCACTGGCAGTTTTATGTCTTAAATTTTCCATCAAGGTTTAATTTGATTAGTTTTCAGACATTTTATTGCCAATAGCCAAAGAATAGTTCACTGAAGAGAGAATTTCCGCAATAACATTTCTAGTGTTATCAACGATCTGTTGTAGGGTATTATGACATCATAGATCGGCTCGTATTGTACATTTATCGAAAACTACACGCACCTGCAGTTGTATGTCTTATGTTGCACGAACAGTATGCATGGGCTTACAGTTGGATGATGCTCATATCATGATATTTTATTACATCTACTTTACGAATATTACAATTCATCCTCACATTTCAATCAATAGCTGTTTTCGATGCTATGTAGTCGTAACGAGAGTAGCCTCATCCTGCGTTTTGAATGGAACAAACTGTAAGGTGTGCAATGATAGTTTCCGCCAAACGTTAATTTGATTAGTTTGTGGGCATACAAACAAAGATTAATTGAATGACGAGAGATTTTCAGCCAACACATTTTTCATGTTATTCAAGATATGCTGTTGTGGGCTATTATGCTATTATAAATCGGTACCTATTGTACATTTATCAAGAACTACGTGCACCGACAGTTTTATGTCTTATTGTGCGCAATTTACCTCTGAATGCAAAAATCGTTTTGATCACTATTCGCTTCGGAGTTTTTTTTTACGCTTTTTGACGCGTTGATTATATTATAGAAATTACCCACCGAATGTACCCCATTTCATGTTGAAATTATCAAAACAAAGTTCATTTTTTCCCAAAATTCAAACAAAGACTTTCGTAGGAACCAAATTACTCCACTTTTGGGAACATAACATGTTTCACCCAGTCATTATCAAATTAAATTTCATTTCTCACAATTAAATCTACGGCCTGACAGGTGAGGCTCATTTAAAAACTTTATAATTACTGAACTATTAGGACTCGAAATCACGAAGTCACGTATTCAATATTAATTAGTTGTTTGAATAGCATATAAATAAGCCTTTCAATGTAACTCAAAAAACTAGTCTAATCAGTCTGGGGACTAGATTTGATCTAATTGTGTGCGCGTGTGTTGTTGAAATCAACGAATAAAATCAAATAGAGTTTTCTAACGTGAATTCATTCACGTGGGCGTTGACGCTGAAGGGTGAACGGGCGACTTGCAAGTCTGAGACAGCCAACGAATTATCAATATCTGATAACATCTCATTTATTTATCATTTATCTGCTATAATATTAATGACCAGATGTTGTGGGGTATTAAATATATTATGATTTTCGATTGCGACTTTTCGTATATCTGTCCATCTGCTTGCATCTGCGGATTTTTTCATGTAATGTAATGTGCATATAACTCATAGATGCAACCGCATATACAGGGTGATCAGATCAAGTGTAGACAAATGTTTATTAAAATATCTACAATATTAATGTGAGAAAGAAACAATTATTTTGCAGAAAATAGCAGTATAAAAATAAATGTCCCAACAATTCATTAATCTATGCCTTAGACTTAGAGCAGTGGTTCCCAAACTTTATTTTCGCGACCCCACAACTAGAAACTTTGAGTAACTTCAAAAATCAGTACTGTATATCAGTTCAATTACCTTAATGGAAACGATGTGCCTGTATCTCGACTGCAAGTGGACATTGACGGTTAACATTGGCCCAAAAAATATACGAAAGAGTCCGGAAATGCGCCGGAAGTGCCTCAGACGATTTGCAAACACATGGCATCGTATGAAAATCACGGTGTTAAATGTTTTAGATCCAAATTATAACAGTGTTTGGCGAAACAAAGGCGGACTTGATGTTGTGGATTGCAAGGAAGCGTACGACACCTCGAAAATAGTGTAGCGTACCATAGCACACGCCGACAGGACACCCCAAGAGAACAGACCCACAGTGTCACAGCGCCCCCAGTGTCTTTAATGCCAAAATACAAAATATTGAAACAATATCACGTGACATCATTTAAAATATAAAACAAAGGTTGTCACAATAGTAAGATTGCTTCTAAATATACATACCGTAAATTTAAAAACTTATTTAGTGTATTCCAACAGTGTCTTTATAATTTTTAGTTCAATGTTAACATATTACGGTTGGTTTCCTCTTTTAACTCGAAAGTAAAACAAGAGAATAAAAGTAAAATCTGAAAAACGTGTACGGAATCACATCTTTTAAGTGCTTTTTGTTATGCTAGAACTTGTTTTGGTTTTGTGTTTGACTGCTCGGAACGCTTCGAAATTATGTATGAAACGTCTGAATACGTAATATTGCAAGACGAAAATGTTCACTTTTATGTGAAGGCGATGTGGACAAAAACACGTGGCCCACTCGTAGATTTTAGACACGTGATTGAATTAACAAAACGCTTTCACAACTGATCAAAATCTAAAGTGTAATTACTCGGCCAAGACATCGCCTGGTAATTATTATCATACTTGTCAAACGAAGGGTCAATCGCAAAATACAGCAACTTTGCTTTGTATATTCGATAACCGAGCGGCTACACTGATCCAAAATAACAACTAACATAATTTCTCGCAGCCTGGCAAAAAATCGAGTAAAGCGGGTCAAATACTCATTCCGATGTAACGTGATCAAAAACAGATAAAAAGCTAAATATTATTCGCGCTTGTACACTGTCACCTAACTTCATTCTCCATTACCGGTACCTGTCGCCTAGCTGGAAAGATTAAGTACCACATAGAAGCTTTACTGGACAATTCTGGGGCCGTTTGGAGAATACATGGTCGAGTTATTGCTGGAAAATCCGAAGTTACGCACTTCTACAGTAGCTGCCGACAAGCTCAAATTATTTCCTTTTCTAAATTTCAAATCACTTCCATTGGTGTGCGCATGTTTGACAGAAATTAGGCGACTCCGGAAAATCTTTCCGGATTCGCGATCCACAGTTTGGGAACCACCTACTTAGAGCATTTGTTCTCAACCTGAGTTAAGCGCACGACTAGTGATACCCAGAAGTTTTTCAATTGGAACGACAGCAGCTTTGAATTATTGAAACTATTAACTTTTGAATATGCTATATGGCGTTTATAGCGCAACCAGTTCTTGTATTTTAGAGATCGATCTCGCCCGTTTCTATCCACCCAAAACGACATCTTAAGTACACATCATTTTTATAAAGTACAATTTCTTAAAAAATGATTACGTCATCGCGAATTTATCTTCTGTGGCGTTTCATTCAAAAGAATATCATCACTAACTCTATTGCTAGAACCCAATAAATATGAAAAATAATTGAAGTACCAAGATTGCTGTTTAGGAGAATTGACAATGATAAATTCAGAATCAGTTTTCGGTAAAAATATATAGTTCACGATTTTATTGCAAATTCGTCTATTTAAATGTGCGCGGTTCGGGAATAATATTTTGAGAGATACCGGGATAATATCATGTGAAGTTGCTTTGTGCCGTAATAAGCTAAAATTATAAATTATTACGTTAAACGTCACGCTGCAGTTGACCGGTTACTTTTACCCGGTTAAAGTGTTTTCCTTGAAATTCCCAGCCCTACCCACAATACATTTTATCATAATCACTAAATCAGTGGTACCAAGAGTTGATTAACCGTGGGCCAAAATTTTAGGCGAAGGAACATTCGCGGACGGTATGTAATCCTAATTAAAAGCTGAAGGATATTTGCGGGCCGGGAGAGGGGAGCGCCTGTAATGGGACGATACCGATAAGTTAACGGTATAATTAAATTGTTACGAATATACACGTGCTTAAACTGTGATAATGACGCAACATTCGGGAGTAACAAAACGTGAAATGGTGAAAACATTAAGTGATAAACATATTAGTATTTATTTACGGTAAAACTATGTCTTTCACTGAAGTTCTGCAGGCCATTTCAAATTGTTACGCGGGCCGCGGTTTGGGAACCCCTGCACAAAATTATCCGAAACCTCGGCCGAATAAGCATTGTGACGTAACACGCAAAACGGCCAGAACATGCCCGTTCCGTTTTCGATGGACAGTAACGCCGAGGGCGATCTTTATGGACAAGGATTGATAGCGCTATAAACGCTGTTCAGCGAATACAAAAGTTACTTGTAGCAATAATTCAAAGCTGCTTGCGGACCACTAGTGATGCGCGTACCTCGGATTGAGAACAACTGCTCTAAAGCATAGATTGATAACTTGTTGGGATAAAATTTCAGCATAGATTGATAACTTGTTGGGATAAAATTTCAGAAAATACAATACGTGTCTCGTGTAGTTCCAAACAGATGGAGGCGTATGAGGCAAAGGGAGGATAGATAGAAAAAAAAAGAATTTTATTGTTTATCCTTTTACATGACTTTACGCAAGATGTCACACGAGACTGGCAGTAGAGTTGGGCACACAACACAAATTTTTACAAATATTTGTCAGGCCTTCGACGCGCTTAAAAAGATCAAATTTACTATTTTCTATGTGAAAATTTGAATTCAGCTTCATTCGTTTATTTGAAAAAAAAAAATAAATAAAATAAAAAAGGTTGTGAAATTTGTTCCTGGAATTTGAAAAAGCAAAATTCTGTATGAATGTGATCTCTGTACGTTAAGCATAAATTTTGCACTAATTAAGCACTAATTTCTGTGCGATTTTGAGGACAAATATTTTATTTAAGATAGTATTTAATGTTTAACGTAACCATACATGATTTTTGTGCTAAATTTTATTCAGATTTTCTTTGATTACAATCTGGAATACATCCTAATGGTTTGCTTTTCAGAAATTTATGAATGAAATCGTAGCAAAACTGTTTTAAAATTTGGCTGTATTTTATTTCTGTTGTGCTTTATTGTACAATATATAATGGTAATGAGATTGCGTAAATTGTAAGTAACGCCAATTCTACCTATAGCCTGGGGACTTCTGGTTGTAAGTGTCACGAATAACGGAAAACTTGGGCGTGAATTGTTAACTGACATTTTTGTGATGCATATTTGATTTCTCAGAATCGGAAAGAGATAATGATAGGATCAGGCGTTAATGAATCACCTGGCTTTAAATGAATTGGTGATTAGTTTGCCAAAGCACACAAAATAATATTAATTTAGCACTAAGAGAATGCGGGTCGAACGTTGGCGGCTTCATAATGGCTGGTGTCGCAATAGTTATAAATTGTAGTTATCTTGGGCAGGAACCCGTTGAGATAAGACGGCCCAGGAAAAACATATTCCCCATCACTCATACCATACCCCATTTGGTAGACTTGTAAAAAAGGAGCAGCGGTAAAAGGAAAAACCCGATATTAACCGAAAACGGTCTATTAATAGAGATCTTACTTAAAAACAAGAGCTTGAGCAAAAATATCGTTTACGCCACATGTCAAATTATTACAACAATCTTATTTTTGAACAAAAACAAAAGTTTAACTCAATTAACTTTTACCCACCAAATGCCACGCCATGTAAAATACTGTTCAATATATATGTATTGCATGTGATTTTGTAAGAAAAGCAATACATGTCACCATGACATAATCTTATTTGGAAAATTCCCGTTTGACGTAACAACATTACGAAACCGAACCATTTTTTACATTGTTTTGTTATGCGTTGCATGACTTTTATAGAAATACGGGTTACAGGCCGAATCTCCTCAAAAAATAAACTTTTCTCGTCCAAATTCCGCCGGATCTAAAATTAGAGAGTTAACATGTTATAATGTGCGCAAAAAAGGCTTTTCGAAACTCACAATAAATAGAAAGGTTACATTTAAAGCGCCGTAAAGCATTGTCGTAACGCCAGAACGATCGAAGCAAGTGACAAAAGGACTTGGAAATTCAAAATGAATATAAATCTTATTTTCAAGATTTTTGTTTCGAGTTTTGTGATGATAATGCTGCTGAAAGCAACACAAGGGTATAGTTTTAGTAATAGACTCGGTCATGAACTCAGCGAAAATATGCGAAATTCAATCGATGAAGAAACTGATTCAAATCATTTAATATTCAAACGATCGGCTAGGCATCGTCGAATAGGGTGAGTTTGTTTAAATATGTTGATTTACTTTTTACAATAATTATGTTTATTTGACTTTCAAATTCCATAAGTCAATCTTTTCCTAGCCACGTCCGTCAAATATGTTATGTTCGAGAAGTATTTTGATTACATGACCTATGGTATAGACTATAATATGTCAGCAATAAATAATTTTCAACAAGTGTACTGTTAACCATTTGTTGCATAGCAATCTACCTACTTTACTGACTGTTAAAAAAAACTATTCATACACAAATAAGCTATTATTATACTTGCCAATCCTGATGACTGAAATAACAATCAAACCAAAAACTGACAGCGACAAGATGTTGACTAACTGGTTTTGCCATGACGACTAAAAATAGCTTTAGCGAATTGGTAAAATAACGTGACTAGGTGTGTGCAATTATACTACAATAGAATAGTTTGAAGTTTTTTCTTATTCATCACATTTGATTGACATATTTTTGAAAGTTCAACACGAAATGATATTTTGCAAACTGCTTTGTATTTCTTATAATAATAATAAAAAAAATATTTTTTCCTCACTTTCGGGTGATCATCCATGAAGTGTTTCAACTTTTGGTATAAAAAAGATTTCTATCTTGGTTTGGGGAAATAAGCTATGGCTATGTTTCCGTCTTTGATTAGATTTTCTATTTTTTTTTACCCTGGCTGAGGTGCTAGGCCTGGTTTGTACAACGACATTGATTATCAGACCGACATCTCAAACGGCGACCCTAAAATACTTTGACTAAGGAGGTAGCATGTAAATGTATGTATTTTTTTGCAGACTCGTAAACACGATCTACAGTGTTTGTGGAAAAGTCATGGAAGTAAAATGTAGTTCGATACGAGAAAAATGTCATTGGTTGACAAAGAGAAGTACAGATGATTTTTACAAAAAAAGATCTAAAGGTGGCCGAAGTAAGAATATAAGTTCTTTTTTAATTTAATTTTTTTATTACTCTTTATAAATTAAAATTATTTAATATAAAGTTTTTTATGAGAATCATTGCAATGTACTGTATACTAAATTGCTATTCGGTTTTACAGTTAAACGCGGCAGGAGAAAATCTAAAAAGGGAAAGAATAGGAGAGGAAGAAAACGACATCATTTGAACATTCCAGTGCATTGTAACACGTGCAGAAATCTTTGTTGGTAGAGATAAAGTGACGTGATTTACCCCAGCGATGAACAGCAAAATTGACTTATTTTTACAATATGCTGTTGGAATCTTCTCGTAACATTGATTGTATGAATCAAGAGCTTTTCTAATTTTGTTAGCTATTTATGGGATTCGCGATATCAGCCATAGTTAATACTATGAAGTAATTCAAGATTAATTTATGGAATAATAAGCTGATTTTGTATTGCAAACAAACAGGCATCTCTATCTTGTCATTCTGTGCTAATTTTTATTCTCGCATTGTCACAATGTGTGCAATGCTCTTTTTGTGGCCAAGCAGTTCGTTGACCAATAGTTATTTTCATGTTTTATTTGAATGAAATACACTGTGATGCAAAATATTCATTCCGCAAAAAATCGTCAACGATATTAATTAAGTTGTATTTTGCGGTATGCAACATATACACAGAAATTCTTTGCTGTATTTATCTGATGCCGAGTATAGATCATTGTCAGAGCACAATGCAGATAAGAGATATAAAAAAGACTTAAGATGAGTAAATTCCTTCTCTTTCATATTTATATTTTATGAAATATGATTATAAATTTTATCTATTTTGCATTTTTTATTCACTATGTGCGTTACTATGTTCCTATATTATGCTCAATACAAGTATTTATAAGCATATGCTGTGGGATGTAATGACAGATGAAAGAAAGAGGTTAAACATTAGTGGAACTGGTTTCAATTTTTTTTGTTAAAAAAATGAAAATGATTTCAGTTAACATGAAATAAACATAGCAATGTTAGCTTTTTAATAATACGGCTTCAATGTGTAATCACTAGGTTTGTGTAATTGGACAATTTTACCAAGAAACACCTTTGACTGCTGATCAAGTCAGTTAGTTGCGAAATGTTCATTTAAAAAATTATTTGAAAACGCTTAAAAGTGAAAGAAAGTTGTCGATAAAATGAAATATTTTACAAAATCGCTATGCTATCTTCATTGTAGACGAAACTTTTTTGCGGTTATAGAATGACGAGAAGAATTTTCAATTCTATAATCCATTACGCAGTATTTTCGTACTAACCTCATCATGGCCTAAAGGCAGCGAGATATTTGGAGATAGGCACGAAGTAACCTTTTGATTTATTAAAATCACCTGAAGGAAGAAATAACTACATAAATATTACAATATTCAAACATTTTTCCGACGTTAATCTCACAGATGACTTAGTATTCATAGTCGGTAATAATCAAATGGTTTGCATCGCAGCGAAAACATGATTCACCACCAGCTTGAAAAGACACCGGGTATCGGTACACGTTCCACGTATTGTGCGTGGTTTTATTAATACCCATTCATCTTCAATATCATTATTGGCCTAGTTGTATGTGTTCTGTCACCAGGCCTGGTGCGTTGGCGTTGCATATTTGAGGTTCCAAGTTTAAAACCAATACGCACTCTCTTATTCAGGGCTTAAAGTTGGGATTCGCGTATATGGTAAGATGTGAAAAGCCGTGCGGTTAATTAATGTATTTAACATTCTATGAGATCTCAAATCTATGACTATGACCTATGACTAAATCGCCATTTAAAGTTTTAACGCTCTTCCATTTTTATGAAAGCGCGAAAGATTTACATGAGTATACCGATCAAACATCTATGAACATTGCATGAGCTGACATATTTTGAGAGCATTGGAAGACGCACATTTAAAATCTGACGTTTAATTGATATTTTCTAGTATACAGGTTTTGTTTGTAATATTTACCAAACAACAATGCGCAAATATCCGAATAATACCTCGGGCGAAATAGAGTTATGATTAAAACCTATAGTGGAATAATTTTTTTCTAGCAGGGTCAGTTTAAGTTAGCCTTTTTTGAAAACTTGGCAACATCTCATGTACGTTTATTTAGAAAACAAAATTCCACAACTCCCTCCACCTGTTTGCAAATGCTTGAAGATAGATTTCTACTTTAAAGCATTTTTATTCAGAGATTAAAACAATGCATGAAATTAGACCTGAAGATAAGATTTAATACCAGTTTTCTTTTCCTACTTTGTTATTGTACGATGGATAAGACAAGGTTACGGGAATACGTCATTATGTCACACCAATAATAAATATAGCCAAACTTTGGATGTTCAGCAAGTACAATCGCAAATATTGTAAAGTCATTACAAAGGCATAAATGTCAACGATGAACATTATTATGATGCTTACAATGATTACATTATTGTGAGATACCAACATTTTATTACTGCGGAACACCAGTTACGTTTATGATACTTTGTTGCCTTACTTGCTCCTTGTTTTGTGGTTGAAACCAGTTAGGTCTACGTCGCTTCAAATGAATCATTTGAGATAATTATATCTGAAAGTCACGACAAATTAATTTATTATCAAATGAAACTTTATGTTTCAAAGTAATATGATTCATATAATAGCGGTTAAACAAAAATACCACATGATATAGTTTAATCTCATTGCCAATTTCATATTTGCTGTATTGATCGTGTGAGAAATAAATGAATATGAAGAATAAAAATTCTCCCTATATTTTAAAGGAAACTAGAAAAAGTATATATGTAATACCTCCAAATTAATATTATATTCAGGTATTGGGTCAAATCGCTGATCTTAATCAGAATTTCATCTTATCATATTGGATATGCCACACTGTGAGTTCATAAGTTGATTTTGTAATTTATTCTCGTTTGACCTTACAATATTTCGTAGGATCTCTTTTTATTGAAATCTATCACATTGAAAAAACTAGTGCATCCATAACCCAAAATATAAAAGCTATATTTCAATTTAAAAATTTAGGAATAATTCATTAATGAAAATTTATGCAAAAGTGTTTTAGCATTGAATTTTCACCTCATGTCATTATCGCTTAATAAGTCGGATTCTGCATTACACAAAATGTTGTCGGTACATAATTTTCTACGATATTTAGAATATACATAACTTTATAAACACATAGACCGATATGGCTATACCCGAAGGTCATGCTCTGGGAATTTACATCGAAATTATTTGGCATTGAAATCAACGAGTGTTATCATCGGTGTACAGTATAACTGGGTATGGGTATCAAATAGGATTTTAGCAAATTTTTGCAAAAGTAGCTCGATATAAGAATTGCTTTTCAGATAAAACAGGTGTTTTTATGCTTGTAATTAGGCTGTGACCAAATAGATTTTCTAAAGAATAACAGTGCGTGGGTGTGATGTATACCTATAAATATTTTTCACAGTGAAAGCGGTCGAAAGTTGAATGAATGAGGCATACTCAAAATTTAGCGCCAGACCAAGCTTTGAATATTTGGAATTAGTAAAAAAAAATAACAGACCTGATTACATGTTACTATAAAGTCAGTGTTCTTTTAAATGAACTAGATCTGATAACCTCGAAACAACGGAAAATTTTGGCTCATTTCATGACATCGTGAGCGACATGATAAAATTAATAACAATGGCATTACAAACATTACGATAATATTAATGAAATTACTCTCAATTTAGTGTGCTAAACAGACGTATTTTTAAGTATTTTGCACTAAACTAAATTTGTATATTTTTTTAGTTTTCTATTACACATATGCTGAGGCTAAATTAAAATACGTAAAGCACAAACATGAAATAAATCTATAAATTAATGATGATGCTCAATTTTCCGTTTCTGTACTGATTACACCCCGATGTAGCTAACGATAATGGGGTACGACAAGCATTCATACCGGAACATATTTTTGGTAATCAACATATATCATAAGGTATTATATTTGATAGTGACCTTGAACATCTATGTACTGTAATACTAATACGAATGACTCATTTGGTGCCAATATCGGGTTGGCTTCCACATATCACTTACATCGCGATGAAGTCTGATTTTATCGTATATATAGGTGAATCATCAGTCTTATAAAAGATGTAATATGTACGCCATTTTATCTATTTTAGATGTTTCACAATTTACTTGACATAGCGAAATTTGGCTCAAAAAGTTCTTGCAAAGCAAAGATCTTCACAAAGGCCAAGATCTTCACAAAGGCCAAGTCTAAATTAATAGCGCGGAAGACTACTTATGGTTATCATGAGGAATATACCTTATTTGCGGTTACGTCGTTGAGTTTATTTGTGTTTATACGCCATATGTTCATATAATCTTCAGTTTTAAACGTGCCCACTACTTATCTAGTGTAAATTTGTAATTGTGCCCTCTCACTTATGTGGCTATCTGTTAGGGATGTTTCCAGAGCAATGTACACATGAATACTTGAGCATTTTCGCACGTTATCAGTTAGCAAATTTACTCGGTTAGTTATGCTGAATAACTTTAACATATTTCAGCTTGTTGCTTACTTCAATTTGCTTGTGTCTTGTGTCAAGCTCCATCGCCGTAGAATACAATGCAATACAACGCCGTAGAATACAATGTATTGATAAGCTAATCTTAATGAATGGTACTGAGAGTGAAAACAACCTAACATACAATGAACACTATATTTTAGCTATGATACTATGGCTTATTACATCCTCATGTTTGTAAGGACTCCAATAACGCTAGATACAGTAGTGCAAAGATCGCGTGCATAAGAAAACCTATCATGAACAGAAAACAACATATTGAAACAAAAGTACAAAAAATACTGAAAACTTTGGGGAAATTCTAAATAAGTTCGTTCAGTTATAGACTCTTATCATGAAGTTTCATAATATCACAATATATATTTATGTGTGGTAAAATATAAGATGTTGGAGAATAAATCATACAGACGCAAAAACTGTTAAACACCGAAGGGTAACATGAAAACAACATACTGTAAGCTAATATTATTATAGGAAACTATAGTTTTTTTCCAACCTAATGTCTTTAACCAAAAAACATGAAATTGAACTGATTTTCACTATCGAGTAATGCTGACCTCTACATTTTCTACATACTTAATATAACAATATTATATTATAAGACTAATTTCTACAACATATAAACCCGATGGTGCTCAAAAAATAACAGCTATAATAAGTGCTACAAGCACCCAAGTCGCCACGCAGTATCCTTCGCATTGTGCGCCAGAGTTCCTGAAAAATATACGTTATATGATAATAAGTCATAAGTATAGAAACATTGGCTATTTGAAGCAATTAAGGACTACAATCATGTCTCATTTTAGCTTAGTATATATTTTTACGTCCTTAGATATCATACGTAACAGTTCGGACCGTGGTACAATTTATACATCCTGTGAATCATTACTGTGCAGACTCAGCAAATGTAAATTCGTTGGTAAATAACAATTACTGAATAAAAAAAAAATTGACCAAGTGATTGATCAATTCAGTGAACATAATATAAGTGATTATATTTGTCATTTACTCTTTTCAAAAAAAAAAAAATTTTTTGGTTTTAAATGTAATCGATAAGCATTTATGACCTTGCTTCCCAAATTCCTTATATTTTATATTGAAATTGATTAATGCCACTTACCCTATTATTTCGCTGCATCCTAATTCTCTTACTCCCATATTAGATTGCGAATCAATGTCTGCATGATTTAGGAATACAATGATACTATCATAAAAAAAATTTTGCCGCTAATATTTAAGTGAAGAAAATTGAATGTTGGATAAATCTAGTATACACCAAGCAATTTTGTATCAAAAGTATTTTAAAATCAAATTGAATCAATACTCCAAGCAGACTTACAAAATAAGAGTATGAAACTGCCATTGGACAAATAGAAAAAATACAGTTTTGAATAACACAGAATTCGAAATTCAATAGTCACATTCGAAATAATAAAAAATATAGCAATAACGATTTCAGATCAACTAAGAGGCTTTTGATACGGAAAAAAAAATTGAGTAATATATAGTTACCATCGACAGATTCAACAGTGATCATCATTCCTAAGTCCTCGTGTTTCAAAACATGACAATGAAGAACTACCGACCCAGTGTAATTATGAACGTTGAAACGAACCTGAATTGTTGTGATAAAAAATAATTTGCTGGAAACGAATCATTATATTTCAACTTTGAAATATATTTTCTATGTGAAGTGAGGTTTTTCAATACAATGTAAGAAGCAAAAAAATCACCTAAATTTTAATTACCGTGACGTTTGAAAACGGTGGAAGATTTAAAACATCTCTCCAATCTCCTTTCCTTGAATATCCCACTGCATCACTGTCATCTCCACCGCTTTCTAGATTCAACCAACGTTTTTTGTGTGCCAAAAATTTTTCATCAGGTTGATTTGGCCACTTTCGGTGTGGATCTTAATTATAAAAATAAATTAATTTTGATCTTTTTTTTATCGCTTTCAGTATGTATGAAAATCCGCATTTCCGTTTTATTAGACTTTACATTATAATACAATGCCAACATAGGGTAAGTATTGAACTTATAACTTCTAAAACGATAAAAAGTATAAGTACTTATTTTGAGTGATATTGAATGGAATGATATGAAAAGTGCACAGTCAGTAAATGCAAAATATAAAAAATAACTTAGATTCCTACTACAAGTATTTAGTGATAATAAGAATAGCTAAATTAAATACTGAAAGACAATTTTTTTTTACCTTTTGTATGCGTGGTTCTCAAACTGGGGTACATGTACCCCTAGAGATATATTTCGACTTTATAAAGGATTCATTAGATATAAGGATATTCTTTCTATAAATTATAATCTGCCCCAAAATATATTTCGTGTTAATATTTCGAAGAACTGAGTTTGAGAACTCACTAGGAAGTCCCGTTCTCACCCTATAGAAGCTTTAACTAAAACTACAGTATATAATCACATTGAAGATATCTGGACACTGATATTCTTTCTCTTTGACAGAATGGTCATCACTGACCAACCATGTCACTCGTCACGAATCGTCGCCATTGTCCCCGGTTCTGCGTCATTCTGAGCAACTCAACCATGCTTATGTCCGCGATGACCTTCACGTAGTCTGATATTTTTGTTTTTGAGTTTCCATGTCCCATTTTGCGAGGTGTTGTACCAAAGAGCAGATCTTTTGTTAGGCCGTCTTTTCTGGCCACATGCACCAAAATTCGAAAGCAGCGAGTTTCCCCCTGTCGACTTTCTTCAAGCGCAACATTCTGCCCCGTATGATGTTATCGAAAATACCAATGCTTGTAGAATTCATTTTTTTTGTGCGTTGTGAAATGGATCTATCTTTCCAAATATTGGTCAGCGCAATCATTGCTGTGTTTGCCATTGCAATAAGTCGTCTAACTCCTCTGATGTCATATACTTTGTTTGTGAGGACTAAACCCACGTAGACTGAATCTTCTACATTTTTAACATTTTGATTAACCGCAATTAGGATTTCATCATTTGGTACCTGTGTTACTTTCATTACCTTCCTTTTGCTGACGTTGAGGAGAGACATGCTGCTTCGCTGGCAATTTTAACCTTGTTTGTTAAATCTTATAGTTTCTGCATACATGTCACAATCACAATTACATCGCCAGCGTATCTCAGGTTGTTGATTGTTCCTCCGCCAATTTTGATTCCCGTTGTCTTATGTTCGAGTGCTTCTCGCATTACTTGCTCTGTAGGGGAGGTGGGGTGACAATATACATCTTTGGCTAACTCCCTGACCAATTTAAAAAAAGTCTGTCATCCCGTTCTTATTGTTGCTTTCTGGTAGGGAATACAGGTTTCTGGTGAGATCAATTATTTGTATGGGAAATCCCATATCTGCCATCGCCCTCCAGAGTACTTCTTGTACCATTGTGTTGAAAGCTTTTTCGATGAAACAAAGACAAACATCTGTTCCAACCTCTCGTTTCTTCTCAAGTATCATTTTAGGTTGAGTATTTGGTTTCTAGTTCCTTTCCTTGATCTTAAACCAGCTTGTCACTCTGCTATTTCGGCACTTAACATGTTCCGCATCCGATTTGCTATGATTTTCAACATGGGTTTACTACTGTGACCAATCAAGACGATTGTTTGGGTTGCTGTATTCGAAATCGTCGGCCTTCTCGGAAGTATGACGAGATTGATGTTCCCAACTCTCCAGTTAGATGGCCATTATTTTTTTTCCAAAAAGCTATATTTAATTTGTGAAAATTTGGATGCTTTTGGTTCAGAAGTTCAGCTAGAAGGTCATTTAATCCTGGAGATTTCCCGCATTCAAGTCTCCCATTGCTTTTTCAACCTCTGCGTATGTGGGCGGGAATTCATCTTCTTTGTGCAACTTGCGTATTGGTCGACTGATCGGATATTTAATTTCTTGTAAAGATTTGCTCACTATGTTTTTCATCTTTCTAATCCATAATAATCCATACGCCATATCCATGTCTAGATCCGACTGGATGATAAAAAGAGTACAATTTGTTTTATTTGTTATTATTTACAGTTTTACCTTCATATTGTAGATTCGGGATTCCATACGAATCGTTACAAAGATTTCCGGATTGTGAACGTAAAACAAACGTTGGAAACTCATTGAAATAATATTGAGATTTTCCACTTAATGGACCAGTGTAATCATTGTAGCTAATAATCTGAAAGATCAATTTTTTTGAAAAATAAATTTTTATTGTTTCACGATAAAAAATTAAAACTATGTTATTACTTATCGATCTTAAGATCGGTAAGTATATTGATAGGTATTTGTCTGTCTGTCTGTCTGTCTGTGTGTCTGTTAGATGCACGCGATATCTCACGAAAGCGAGATTGAATCTGCTCCAGATTTTGCATGTGCATTCATCTTATCTCGGACCAGTAGCCTATTGATTTTGGGCGAATTATGTCGTATAATTAGCGAGTTATCAATCAATTATTGATATAGTGATCTAGATTTTTGTAAAGCGAGAGAATTTTGAAACCCGCCGAGTGTGTGTGTGCGATGCGCAGTGCGCAAGTTACAAGAGCGGATGAATCGAAACTGCAGTTTCTGTTTTGGGGGATCCCCCAACTATCGATCGATAAGTCTTCGGTTTCCAACCGATATTCTCGTTTAAATATTAATCAGTTCAATTTGTTTAAAGTTCTTTTTGAGATTTATTGGCGTGCTTAATTTAATTGTATCCAGTAAGCTAAACTTCACCTGGAAATGATTAACATGGATATGCAAAGGATGTGGAGCACCAGGTATAGTGTTGACAAAGGTCCATTCTTGTATGGATCCTACTTCCATTCTGAATCTAAAAAGGAAATAAAAGACTGTCTCTCCGACTTTGTTTGCTATCATTAAAGAAGGCACACCAAGCAGTCTGTGAAACTATTTGAAATGGGAGTTTGCACACTGATATTTTTCATGAAAATTTGAAGAAATTTTCAAAACGTTTGATTAATCACGGTAAAGCGTGTACATGGACAGCCATAATATTCTGGATTCAATTCTAAAAAATTAAAAAAAATTACCTATAGTCCTTTTCCACGTCAAACTTTTCACGATTCATAAAAAAGTCGTCGGAAAATTCTACAACAAATTTATTACTTCCTGGTATATCGGTGACATTCAATAAATCTTTCACAAATTCTGGACGGTCCGGTAAATCAGCAGGAAAAGTTGGAGTTGGTAAGTCGCTATTCATAACTTCAATTATCATCAAATCGCCATTATATCGACGAAACGTACCAATGGAATACTCACTTTCAGGTCTCGAAACTGAGCGAAGCTAAACAATGATAGCATGATTTTATTGTTCTTTAAAACAAAACAATAGAATAGGTGTTGCGGAAAAATGTTGATGGTATGAATTGTGAATTGGGACAATTGAAGAACAAATCTCATAAGCGTAAACTAATGCATTATGACATACGTGAAAGTCGCATAAAAGGATCATAAATAGCAAAGACAAGAAAGATCGTGTAGTAATGATTCTTTTTCATTTAGCATAAGAACCAGCTTTGTACCTCCCGGATAAATATAGCAAATGCTTAATGATATGTCGTAAATTTATATTTAAAGAAAGCACAAAATTTATAGCGTAGCTATATATACTTTCATTGGCTATCAACTCATTAATTGTGATTTTTGGAATTGTCTCTGTGCAGCCAACCTTGAAATTTGTGGTAGTGTGTTAGACAAGACCAATATCTTGTCATCTTCTGTTTTCTTTCTAATTCTTTCGTTAGTTTTGATGTGTATAAGAGTCGGAGATCCGCTATCACACAGATATGCCGTAGCGAAGGGCAACAGTATTCAAAATGTAAGTTTCGATATTTGTAGATAAGATTATATATATAAAACTTAAACGATATTGGTAAAACAAGAGAGCAAAACTCATATACATGGACACGAAGCCCAAAATAAAACTTTTCACCCAAAATTTTTTCAAAATTCTTGTAATAGAGCTTACGGCGACAACGATAACAAACTTAGCCAGCTATCTGCCTCGTATTGACGTGACGTCATTTTTGAATGGCGTAGCCATGTGGGGGTCATAAATGACATATACAAAAATTGGTATGCCACACTCACTGAAAGTTCTTGTGGTACTAAACTACACTAGATCCTCGGTTTTCTACCGCATCCCTATCAAAAAACTTCCGACTTTCGCGTCGCAAATTAAATTAAAATTAAAACAGCGAACAGAAGAAGTATTAGCGACCACAACAATCTTTAAGCACAGAATATTTCAAAGCATTTGGTCCAGTAATTGATAACAAGAATAATTTTAGCAACAACTACATAATCCAAAACAATCAATAGGTCCATTTTATGTCCAAACAGGGAGCGTGATTTAACAGGCGGGGTGTCATGTTGGTAAGAGCTCTCGGGTATGAAGTGGTAGGCCATATAGTTCGATTCTATAATCGGTCAAATCTAAGCCTTAAAAGGGGGTATACGATGTTTTCCGTTTTTATTTTCCTCTTATATACAATATTTTTCTACAATACTGATCTCACGTTGGGAGCCACTGCTCTAGAATATGTTCTCAATGACCTCCTTGGTGTTGGAGACTGACTTGGAGACTGACCTGCGCAAAATTGTTAATCACTCAATTGGTTTTCTGCTGAAGCGCACTTTCGGCTGTCAGGACATGTCAATTCCAAAATCAATGTTTACTGTGGCACAGCACCACCGAAGGAGGTCACAGTTGTCTACACTTAGTAAAGTGCACAGCATGGGTAGCCATTTCCAATCACATTCTTGACTGGCTGAGAGAGCGATTTCAGGAAGGACTGATCAGCACTATAGGTAGCGACGTTGAGTGAACACCTCATTAATTGGACTTGAACCCCCAGATTTTTATCTGTGCATATATTCGAAGGAAAATGTGTATCCAAAACAAACCTCAAACAATTGGTGAACTCAAGAGTGCAATTGGAGCAGAAATCAGGGGATTTCCATAGAAGAGTGTTCACGAGTGACAAATTTGCGCAACAGATGCAAGTCAGTCTCCAACACCGAGAGGGTTATTTGAGAGAGAGAGAGAACAACATTTTTTAAGGAAGTATTTTGTATGTGTTGTAAAATTCATCAACAATGTTTCAGCAAAATTTAAAGGAACTTTGCTATAAAGATTCAAAATAAAGCACAATCGACAATTTTTTTTTTTAATAATTTTTTATAAAATAACTCATGTGATTTATACCTGAAAGAATCCTACGCCATTACAATATATCATCCAATCCACTCGACCTCCGACAGTGATATAGGACTGACCGGCTATTTGAACTCTTGGAGCATCAAGATATACACCATCAAACGCAATTTCTCTGATTACGCAATCACCTGATCCGTTAATATTTATAACCTCCAATTCAAGACCAACATAACCACCTGCATTGACTATTCTGAAATAGGGAAACAAGTTATGCTTTGACATAAAATACTAACGCTCATTATAGTTTTTTTACGAAATACAGTGAATGTACATCAAAACTGAATAGGAAACGTGCGAAATTCACTTGATTCAGAGATACTCCAAAATTTTGATAATGTTCTTTGATTTTTATCTTATAAAGCAGGGGTGGCCAACCCGCTTTCGACCGCGATCGACTATAATCTTTAAAATACCTCGCGATCGACTCATCTGTAATAATGTCATACACAAAAACGAATGAGTATTTCAATATGCATATAACGCAATATGTAATACGCATACAAAAATTCCATCGCTGCCAATTAGCTCGCTCTGCGGGCGTATTCCCAATGAAATCACCAAACAAATTTGTATTTTTCATGTTCCATTTAATTTGTTAATTTGATTATGTAATTGTGCCCGGAGTGAATGTTTCATCATTTATTTAAGATTTATTCAAATAATATACAATTCAGATCTTCTAAGGCCTGCCTAATTTGTAGTCGTCAGTGTTGAATATTGAATTGAAAAAAAAAAAACTTGCCAAGTATTCATGTATTATCTAAACAGCAAAAATAAATATTCTCAAACCATGAATGCCACATAACTGGCCTAACTTCAGTATCTAATTTACAATTTTTCTCCAGTTCCGATTATTCGTTCGCTTGGAATAGAAAAAATTGGGCATTCTGATGTCACTGCTACCGTTACGAATAAAATGTATTACACAACTCTTGGAGTGAGACAATAACTTTCGAATACTGCAGAAGTTAGTGTAGCAGTCATGACATACAATATTCGGCAAGTTCACTCCCAATCCTCGGCAACTTTGCACATGCTCAGACTATCGAACTCGCCCAGACTCGAACAGTGTATGTGTTATATCGTATTTTGCGCATGTACAATACTATATTTTTCCTGTTTTGAATCAGACAACAAGCGCCGCATGAAACTGGTTCGAGGCAATTGTGGTATTAAATTCACTCAGCATCTGACGTGATCGACTACTCGAGACGTGGCGATAGACCGGTCGTCTTGGTCACCCATGCTATACCTATACAGTAATCCCCTTAGCCTCCGAAAGAAAATACTACTAAATTCACCAGTGGGCCGATGCATCTGGCGCAATTATTGACAGAATTTCGATGATTTTACTGATAGTAAAGCTTTTAAAAAGCTCGCACTTATAGGTACAGAGAACATGTGGTTTTTATATCGGAGAACTTTGTCTCACCGAAACCTTTTCATCTGATTCTTTTGTACTTTTAGTACTGGGTTATAAAGTCCGTTAGTTGTGTAGTAATCAAATCCATTGTTAACATCCATCAGCCACTGTTCTACTGAATCGTTCAATCTGAGTAAAATATTGGTTATGAAAAATCAAGATTTGAATTTTTTTCTGAAATAACGTTGGTTTTACTTTACAGAATTTTGGAGTAACTTATTAAAAATAATATATACTCTGGGCAGCCTTTTTCTTGGGCTGCTTTCCTGAGGTCTTTTTACATGGGTTTAGTTAAACTAATCTAAATAAATTTAATTTTTTTTTAACGTTTTTTTGTGGTATTTCCCAACAGAACTATAGCTACAATCGTCATCGAGAAAATCACAATTGCATTTACAGAATTTACAAATTTAACAATTCAAGTGACAATTTTGATGACGTCACTCCCTAATTATTACTGCACGAAGGCTTCCCAATGCAACAAATGTTACTTTTTAAAAAGAAAATACGCGTAGAAATGTTTAAACAAGCCAATGTGAGCCGTTACAATGAAATTCACGATGAATTCCAAGTTTTATTCTTGTTTACAACTTCACCATCATATTTTCAAAACATTACAGGGCCAAGAATGGAATGAATGACTAAACAAACATGCTAAGCCGATACAAAGTCATTATAAGGGATTTTTCGGCAGTCATTTCTTATCTTAAACACCATTTTTAAATCGATGCCATTGGGAACTCGCACTTTGCTTCGTGGCTAAAACTATCCCTCTCCTACTGCGTCACAATACGTCAAAAAAAAAAAAACTAAGAGCGGAATTTTAACAGCAAAGGGTACGTACGCCTACATGGGGTTTCCATCTCTTTGTATGAGAATGTAAATCACCTGCAGCTAAGAAGCATTGTATCTATTACTAACAACCCGAACGAAACCGCACGAGTAGGATGGAAAAGAATGAATCTAAACTACGCCTTGCAATTCAGTATATAATTTATCAAGTGAACATAATCATCACTAAAATAACTGTAAACTAAATACTGTACCTAAAATATTCTGAATCTCCTATTTTTCTCTGAATGTTCCAAATGAAACTGACACCATCCGAATTGTCGGAGTACTGCAGAGTTGATTGAAGAAGAACGTGAATGTCGTGTTCACAATGATCTGGACAGGAAACGTCGTTAAGTTGTACTGCCATTGTATTTGGTTCATCATCTACGATCAGCAATCCAGAAAGACCGCTCATCACCTATTAAATACATCGGGAGTTTGGGATATGAAAATGATATTGTTGTTCGTCAATCTACTCATATAAATCTAATAAAGTAAAGTTACCATAACAAACCTGAAACCAAGTCGATCCATGCCAGTGGGCGTGGTACCAATATGTTCCGGGTGGTTGGTTTTGGTTAATTGCATAAGTATATCCTACAGTAAATCCGGGGTCTACTCGGGTAAACACGTTGTCTCCAGGTGTCTATTAGAAATACAAGATAACTTATCCTGTTTAAATATATTTCATCAGGTGGTGTTTTTAGATCCGTATGATTATTTTAGATCCAAATTTAGACTCAAACTACCATTTAGATTTTTATTTTAAATTTCCATGTTCTCCTAACTCCATTATCCTAACCAATTATTCGTAATAAAATTAAATATCTATCTTACATCAGGAGAGATGTGAAGACCATGCAAATGAATATTAGTTGTATTGGGTAGTCGTAATTGATTGTGAATTCCTTCAGCTTGGTCGGCACCGAGACGATTCTGCTGCGGTAATAAGTGATTAAAGTTCATTGTAATATTGCATACAAGTAAACTAACAAATTGATTTGTCAGCAGTCGTTTTTAGGAACTAAGCAATCTTTTAATAGTCTTCTGATCTTTCTGATAATATCTCTCGACTTATGGAAAATGATGAGATAAAAGGAATTATATTTCCTAATTCATGGCATTATAACAATTTAGTAGCTGTAATGTTTGTATCTACACATCTTGGCAATTCATTTTGTCCTTGGTATTTCTAATTATGCCTTTTTAAAAAAGTAATAGATCACTCTCCATTTGCTATTTTCATTTAAAAATGCGAGTCATAAAAGAAAGTCGTTGTCAGTGTAGCCTATCTTACATCTCGTTTTATTGTAGAGTAATATGGGACACACCCTGCTTCCCAAATTAAATAAAGTTTTACTACGTCTTACCAATGAAAGTTTAATAGTGTCTCCAGGTTTAACTTGTATTGTTGGTCCACATAAGTTTCCGTTGTAAACTCTACGTTTGATACTTAACCATTCAATCGTGATTTCAGCAATATCAACAATTAAATTTACGAAAAGTGTATTGCCACTTCGTCTGATAACTGAAGTATCATATGTCCTGCAGTCTTTAAAGTTTCCGCGTCCTGATATTAAAGTATACTATATTTTAATATCTTTCTATTTACTGTTTTTTTGGTGCCACTTTGGTATATGATCTCACTTGCCTTACGTGACCTCAATTGTTAATATACCTAAACAAAAACCACTGACTAAAAGCAGCCTACTAACTCCAACTAACTAAAAACACTGAGATCACACAGTCGCTAAGATAGCATACAAAATTAGCAACGTTTTTTTATATTGATTTGATAAACTGTTACTTGTAAAACTGTTAAACTTGACGTTATAACATGTTCGACGTATGATATATATTCCACAATTCTAGTGTAAATATGTTTTCTTAATAAGACCAACGATTTCTAACTACTAGAATGTCGGAGAACTAATTCTGCGGAAATATCAATTGCAACAACAAGCGTCTACGCAAATGAAGATTGGCAAGAATATGGTTTTGAACGAACGTATTTTTGCAATAATAAAGTTTGTTGCTTTGATTCGAATTCGCGCAAATACAGTTTCACGAGAATATGCTTCAGAAAATACGCACTTTTGCTCAAATTCATTTTTGCATAAGTTATTCACACAATTGCATTCTAGAAAGTTTGTTGCCAGCTATACAGATTTTAACATGAAATACTAATTATATAATTGTATTGGTATTACTTTTCAGTGTTGAACAGTGCGGACATTCGCCATTAGCTTCAAGTTGCAACAACCCAATTATAGTTAATAAAATAATTAATTCACGCAGTTTAATTTATGCAGTTTTTCGAGAATATGCTTCATAAAATACGGAATTTTACTCAAATTCATTCTGGCATACGGTATTCACACATATGCATTCTAGAAAGTTTTTTGCCAGCCTACAGATTTAACATGAAATAGTAATTATATGATTGTATTAGCATCACCTTTCAGAGTTCAACAATGCGAACTTTCGTCACCGTTAGCTTCAGGTTGCAACAACCCAATTATATTTAATAAAATAATTAATTTACCTATCACAATTGCTTCGATCATTATTCACAGAATCTTTTCGTATATTGTACTCAGTCGCTGATATGGTATTATCATATTGAATCAGTTCATATTTACATGCGGAACATGTTGTTAAACTTGGTTAACCATTCCTATCTCGACACGCCTCTGTGCCTCTCAATACGCCCCAGCAACAAAATATGAGATGGGCAATGAATTCCTATTTGTTTTGCAAAATTTTCAAAGATATTGTTATGTCATTGCGAGTAAATAATTTTACAAAGGTTCCTGTCCGGCGGTCTAGGAAGTTTTCGCTTCCTGACATTGAAAAACTTTAAATTCAATATCTTTCTATTTATCGTTTTTTGGCGCCTCTTTGGTATGTGATCTCACTTGCCCAACGTGATCTCAATTGTTTGATACATTTTCATAACCCTAAACTAAAATTACTGAGATCACACAGCCGCTGATATCGTATACCGAAGAAGCAACGTTAGTTTTTATACTGATTTGATACTTGTTGGGCTCGGCTAATTGATTAGTTCTGACTATAGTTGAACTGTTGAAAATGACGCCGCAACATGTTTGACGTATGATATATCCCTCAATTTTAGTGTAAATATGTTTTTCTAATAAGACCAATGATTTCTAATTACTAAAATATCGGATAACCAATTCTGCGGAAATATCAATTGCGACAACAAGCATCTAAGCAGATGAAGATTGGCAAGAATATAGTTTTGAACGAACGTATGTTTGCAATAATAAAGTTTGTTGCTTCGATTCGCATTTGCACAAATATAGTTTTACGAGAATATGCTTCAGAAAATACCTATTTTTGCTCATTTAATTTTTGCATAAGTTATTCACACAATTGAATTCTAGAAAGTTTGTTGCCAGCTATACAGATTTTAACATGAAATACTAATTATATATTTGTATTGGTATTACCTTTCAGAGTTGAACAGTGCGGACATTCGCCATTAGCTTCAGGTTGCAACAACCCAATTATAGTTATAAAAATAATTAATTTCTTCATCGCAATTGCTTCGATCATTATTCACAGAATCCTTCCGTATAATGTACTTCAGTAGTCGCTGTTTTATTAACAGCAAAACATGTTCGTTAAACTTGATTAACTATGCACATCGGAATTCCTAGCTCGACACGCCTCTCAATACAAACAACGAAAGAGGAACAAAAGAGAAGATTGGAATTCCTATTTGTTCTTAGAATTCTTATTTGATATTATTATGTCATTGCGAGTAAATAATTTCACAAAGGTTCCTGTCCGGCGGTCTATAAGTTTCCGCGTCCTGACATTGAAAAACAATAAATTCAATATCTTTCTATTTATCGTTTTTTGGCGCCGCTTTGGTATATGATCTCACTTGCTTAACGTGATCTCAATTGTTTGATACATTCTCATAACCCTAAACTAAAATTACTGATATCACACAGTCGCTGATATCGTATACCAAAGTAGCAACGTTACTTTTTATACTGATTTGATAATTGTTGGTGCATTGCTGATTGATTAGTTCTGACCAGTGGCGGCGAGTGGTCATTTTGAAAACCGGGGCAAGCTACTGCGGGACCAAGTCACCCCCATCTACGGGGACAGGATAAGATAGCCAAGGAATTTAATCTATCTTGCTTCATTGTGTTTCTGAGATACGTTTTAATACGCTTCAACGTGCTGAATGTTCGCTCTGCGTCGGCGGAAGAAATAGGCGTCGTCAAAATGATGTCCAGGAATTTTGCAGACGCCGCAAAGGTAGTTACTAGAGTGTTATCTATGAGGAACCCATAGAGCGCGCAAGTTGATGCGATGTTCAAAAAAGTTTAATTGGTGTATATACATCGCAATTCATTTTCCAATTTACCCACGTTTATCATGGGGTAAAATTTGGAGACAGTAGCCAACAAATGGATGGGAAATTGACGTGCAAATTTTGAAAAATTTTTGAGGTTCATCAAAGAGAACGCGGCAAGGTGTTCAGTGCGCAGACGAACGCCTATTTGATTCACCAGAATGTCACAGCATTCCCTTGCAGAAAAAATTAAACGCTGCGTTGTTTGCTCGCGGCGTAAAGAAGCACTCCATGTGTCGTCGTATTTTATTGTTTCCCGGATACGAGATACAGCATCGCAGAAGTCTGAAATACACGACTGCACATACGCTCCATCCATTAGCCTTGACTGCAATGCGCCGTATAATACATCCACGTGATAGAATATTGTGGAGAAAAAAGCGAGAAAAAATGAAAACTCACCATCTTCTAGCAGACGCTTTAGACCTGCCGCCTCCCTCACAGAGCGTTCGTCCCAAACCGGAGAGCTCCGAATGCCATTGAAACACTCAATGAGCTCAGACCTAATTTCGGACACTCCCTGCACCACGCGTGATTGGAAGTTCCAACGTGTTGGTGCACAAGCTGGGAGACGGCGGCTACATATCTGGCGAAGGAGGTCAGAGCGCTTCGGCGAAACGGAAAAAAATGAAGAAAACCCCGAAACATTTGCAAAAAATATACGGACGAGAGGGGTATCAAGACACATATTTTTAATAATGAGGTTAAATTGGTGTGCATAACAATGTAAAAAATGCGCATGAGGAAAATCTTCTTTTATATAAACTTGAACACCATGTTTCGACCCACTCATGACTGCCGCGCCGTCATAAGTTTGAGCTATTAATTTTGACTTCGCGTTGTAAGGCTGAAACACTTCTTTCAGTACAGCCGATATCCCGCAAGCCGTGCGATCAACGATTGGTACAAAGCTGTGAAATCTCTCGGTAGGTTTACCATCTTTCACAAACCGAAAAATCACAGCCAGTTGGGAAACGCACGTGATGTCAGTTGTCTCGTCAGACTGAATTGAAAGGAACTGGCAATTCTCAATTTCCAGAGCCAAATGTTGTAAATAAATTTTATACATTGAGTCGAGCAAATCATTTTGGATATTCTTAGATGTCCCTTTCGAAACAGTTGCGGCATCAAGATGATCTCTCAATACTGTATCTAGGGATGCGGTGTATTCCACCATATCCAAAAATACCCCTCTATTAGAAGAGCCAGCCCGTTCATCGTGCCCACGGAGGGACAGCTCGTGACAACCAATGAACTTCAAAACATCTATCAATCGACCGAGAACATGGCGGTTTTTCTCGACGTTTTGGTTGTGCCGACGAATAGAAACCGCGCGTCCTTCATATTTTATTGCATTGTCCAGATGCTCCATAGAAGATTGATGATCCCTGGCACGCTCGGAAAGATGTTTAAGGTCTCTAAAACCAAATTTACACCAACGTGAGTCACGGGCGGTAGCAAAAAGGAGGCAATAAAAACAAAAAAGTGCATTTTTGTCCTCGCTGTAACACAACCATTCGTGTTTTTTATACCACGTTTCTGCGCAGAATGTACGCCGACGCTTTCCTCCGTCATGGGATTGTTCCAGTGAACAATTTTTTGGTTGATAAGGCCCAAGACGTTGTACCTCTAATTTTTGTTCCAGAGGCAGCTGCGAAAACGGAGTGCGAAGTAGTGCATCAGCCTTATTCATTATGAGGTATTGCCCCGGTTGGCCCTATTGACGCGCCGCCACTGGTTCTGACTATAGTTGAACTGTGGAAAATGACGCCGCAACATGTTTGACGTATGATATATCCTTCAATTTCAGTGTAAATATGTTTTTCTAATAGGACCAATGATTTCTAACTAATAAAATGTCGGAGAACCAATTCTGCGGAAATATCAATTGCCACAAAAATGAAGATTGGCAAGAATATAGTTTTGAACGAACGTATTTTTGCAATAATAAAGTTTGTTGCTTTGATTCGCATTCGCACAAACACAGTTTTACGAGAATATGCTTCAGAAAATACGTACTTTTGCTCAAATTCATTTTTGCATAAGATATTCACACAATTGCATTCTAGAAAGTTTGTTGTCAGTCTACAGATTTATCATGAAATGGTAATTATATGATTGTATTAGCATTACCTTTCAGAGTTGAACAGTGCGGACATTCGCCATTAGCTTCAGGTTGCAACAACCCAATTATAGTTATAAAAATAATTAATTTCTTCATCGCAATTGCTTCGATCATTATTCACAGAATCCTTTCGTATAATGTACTTCAGTAGTCGCTGGTATGTTATTTCTATTTTGAATCAGTTAATGCAGTAAAATCATACTTTCAAAACATTACAGGGCCAACGATGGAATGAATGACTAAACATACATACTAAGCCGATACAATATCATTATAAGGGAGTTTCCGGCCGTCATTTCTTATCTTGAATACCATTTTTAAATCGATGCCATTTAGTTAACTCGCACTTTGCTTCGTGGCTAAAACTGTTCCTCTTTTGCTGCGTCACAATACGTCAATGAAAGGCTAAGAGCGTTTTTTTTCACAGCAAAGCATCTACGCAAATGAAGATTGGCAAGAATATAGTTTTGAACGAACGTATTTTTGCAATAATAAAGTTTGTTGCTTTGATTCGCATTCGCACAAATACAGTTTTACGAGAATATGTTTCAGAAAATACGTACTTTTGCTCAAATTCATTTTTGCATAGGATATTCACACAATTGCATTCCAGAAAGTTTGTTGCCAGCTATACAGATTTTAATATGAAATACTAATTATATAATTGTATTGGTATTACCTTTCAGAGCTGAACAGTGCGGACATTCGCCATTAACTGCAGGTTGCAACAACCCACTTATAGTTATAAAAATAATTAATTTCCTCATCGCAATTGCTTCGATCATTATTCACAGAATCCTTCCGTATAATGTACTTCAGTAGTCGCTGGTATGTTATTTCTATATTGAATCAGTTAATAATGATTACCCGCAAAAGAATTTTTAGGAATTGTGAAAAACATGTTATTTCAACTTGGTTAATCATGCACTTCGGAATTCCTAGCCTGACACGCCTCTCAATACAACAAACAACGAAAGAGGAACAAAAAAAGGGGAACAAAAGAGGAGATTAGAATTCAAATTTTGTTTTGTAAAATTTTTGAAGATATTGTTATGTCATTTAGACTTAGAGTAAATAATTTCACATGGTTGATATTTTTAGATGTTGACGGATTTAAATTTATTTGTATGACGCAGTCAGATTATCTGTTTTATTAACAACATTTTTTTATGTTTGAAATATATATCCTATCATTATGACGCGCTCTGCACACCTACTAAAAGATACTTACTAAGATTTCGTAAGTATTAAATACAAAGCACAAAATACCAATGCGAACTTTCAAATAAAATCCACCCATATTAATTGTACTCAAAAAGAATTAATAGATCGTATGATGCATATCCATATTTGTATGTCTTCCGAACACTTGCATCTTGGAAAAAGCCGTTTTATCTCAAGTCGTTAAATCCAAATGACGTCAAATTTAATTTGAATTAGAGTTAAATTTACTAAACGCTTGAGTAACTATTTTTTAATCACATGGTGTAGAATACAGAACCATAGCTTTGTCAGTCTTGAAATTAATAAATATATTTTGCTTATCTTATTTAAAATTCTAGTATCTTTCTTGGATTAAATATGACCTGGCCTGTATATGAATACATCATCGGCTGTATATACACATGGCATTTGCTGTATATACATATGGTATTGGCTCTATAGGCATATGAGTTGACTGTACATGGATATGACATTGGCTATAAATGCATATGGCACTGGTTGTATATGCACATAATATTGGCTGTATATGCATATGGCTGTTAGATCTCCAGCACTGTTAGTGCTTAATTGTATATAGCTGACACTCATTGCACCTTTTCGTTTTTGTCAACGTTGCAAACATCTCATTGTATTCCTCGCATTCATGTGTTTCTTTATTATCTGTAGACGGAACTGATAAAAAGGTTGCAATTAGCTTATTTACGTCTTAATCGTAATTGACCCGCGTTAGGACTGAAACTGTGAAATGCGCACAGCTAGTTTGCTGTTGCAGTGCGTTACTTGTACGATAATTTAGCATTAGAATGGGCCGTATCGTATTAATTATAGTGGGCTAATTATGATTTCTTTTGTTTTATGCCTATTTAACTTGCTTATAGTTTAATATTTGCTGCATTGAACTGCAATTTGTGAATCTGTCCTGCATTTGATTGTTTGTGAAATATTTTTGGTGAGTTTCCTGTATTTCATTGCATCTGACTTGTTATGTAGTAATCTTATTCGGATGAAATACTGTTGGTATTGTATTTATTGCCACAAATAATGTTGTAGGGTTCAGTACTGTAACTGTAGTGCTTATTTGTTTATGTTTACTTCAGTGTTCTGCAGTTACATAAAAGATTCGAATTTTTGTTGACCTTGGTTCAAAACAGTTGGTAAGTGATAAAATTTGATTGCATGTTGGTTATTTATGTGGCAACATCACAGTATTTATATTGTATTTTGTTTTCGTTAGAAAACTTCTATCTCAACTCTATCTGTATTTGTCATTTGTTTCCGTAATCCATTTGGCTCCATCTGACATCGCGATTGTATAATTTGTGATGAGCAAGTGCTTGATAATTTCACGACACATTACAATTCTCCTGTGTTTAAAAATTGCGTATTTTGAGCTTGTGAACTTCAGCTTGCTTATCTCAGTTATAAGACCGGGATAAGTTGGAGAGGATTGTCTGGGCCAACAATAGACGAATATTGCTGTATTTGGATAGAGCGTTTGGGCTGGAAAATATTGGCGCATGGTTCAGCGCCCTTCGTCTTTGTGTAGCAAGCAGGGTGCATAAGGTCACACCCCGTCAAGATTCTACAATGGCATCAGCTGTATTTGCATTTGAATTTGACTGTATATGCATATTCAGTTGGCTCTATATGTATATGATTTCTTTGTATATAAACATGGAATTGGCTGTATATGTATATATCATTGGCTGTATATGTGTTTGATTGGCTCTATGTGTATATGACGTTCACTTTTGTATGCACACTATTTAAATGACTGTACGTGTATATTGAGTTGAGTATATACCCACATGGCATTCGTTAAGAAAGTATACTTGTATGGCTGTATATTATATTGCATTTGATGTATGTATGTATATGAGATTGAATTTTGCATGTACATCACCTAAATGGTTTATATGTACATGGCTGTCAATTGCGAAAACAAGCATCTACGCAAATGAAGATCGGCAAGAATATAGTGTTAAACGAACAAATTTTTGCAATAATAAAGTCTGTTGCTTTGATTCGCATTCGCAAATGCAGTTTTGCGAGAATAGGCTTCGAAAAATACGTAATCTTGCTCAAATTCACCCTCGCATAAGATATTCACACAAATGTGTATATACATATTAAATTTGTTGTATATACATATGACATTGCCTGTGTATGCATATTTGGCTGGCTCTATAATGCATATGAGTTGGCTGTACATGAATATGGCATTGTCTATAGATGCATATGGCATTAGCTGTATTTGCATTTGAGATTGGCTATATATGCATATTTGGTTGGCTCTATATGTATAGTTTTTCGCTGTATATGCACATGTAATTGACTGTATGTGCATATATCATTGGCTGTATATGTGTTTGATTGGCTATATGTGTATATAACCTGGCTGTTTATGCTTTGTATGCACACCATTTAAATGACTGTACGTGTATATTAAGTTGAGTATATACGTACATGGCATTCGTTGTGAATGTACACTTGCATGGCGGTATGTTTTATTGCATTTTATGTATGTATATGACATTGACTTTTGCATGTACATCACTCAAATGATTTTATGTGTATATTCAGTTGGCTGTCTATGCATGTGGAATTGACTCTTGTATGTATATGACTTAAATGGAAGTATATGTATATTGAGTTGAGTATTTATGCTGTGTATGTAAGTTACTTGAATGAATGCATATTATATAGAATTAGCTGTATATGCATATTGCATTGGCGCTATATGTATATGCGTTGGCTGTATATGCATATTTCCGGCTGTATTTGTATGCCACTTCTTCAACCTTATCGATTTAGGACGCCAATTTACTGATTTATTCAACAACAGCTGGTTTTGCGCTGACTTTTTATACAGACTCTGTCCTCCTCAGTGTCCCTTCACGCTTTTATTTCACATTTACTTTTACTTTACTTTTGGTTGTAATGGTATATTTATACTTTTCTCACTAAGGCCATGGCTCACCTTTTTCTCTGTATTCTTAGAACAAAACTTCAAATAAATTATATTTTTTCATTTTAGCTAGATATAATCGACCAACCCCGTGTAAGTCCGGAAATTTAGTCCCGGTGTTGAATTCGCCGTCACGTTCGACTTAGTTCTGAAAGTTTATTGCCTCGAAAATCATCGTGCGACGTTTTGCGTTTTTCTGTGTCCTGACGGCGCTGTCTCGCGTCAAGATTAAGTGAGTGACTTATAAATATGGACTTATAAATAGCCCTAGGACCAGTCCAGCACTCGAAAGCACATTGACAGTAAGATTTTAAATTCACTTTAAGCTCACATGATTAGATGTAGTAGAGAGCCGCTTTGTGCTACGATTGTTCAACATAAAAAAGAGTAGGTTGTAAATCTTCTTATAGGTACCCAATACAGTAATGATTTGTCAAGGAATGTAAATTTTGATAAGAGATGTATGTATATGCGTTGGCTGTATATGCATATTTCCGGCTGTATTTGTATGCCACTTCTTCAACCTTATCGATTTAGGACGCCAATTTACTGATTTATTCAACAATAGCTGGTTTTGCGCTGACTTTTCATACAGACTCTGTCCTCCTCAGTGTCCCTTCACGCTTTTATTTCACATTTACTTTTATTTTACTTTTGGTTGTAATGGTATATTTATACTTTTTCTCACTAAGGCCATGGCTCACCTTTTTCTCTGTATTCTTAGAACCAAACTTCAAATAAATTTTATTTTTTTATTTTAGCTAGATATAATCGACCAACCCCGTGTAAGTCCGGAAATTTAGTCCCGGTGTTGAATTTGCCGTCACGTTCGACTTAGTTCTGACAGATTATTCTTCGAAAATCATCGTGCGACGTTTTGCGTTTTTCTGTGTCCTGACGGCGCTGTCTCGCGTCAAGATTAAGTGAGTGACTCATAAATATGGACTTATAAATAGCCCTAGGACCGGTCCAGCACTCGAAAGCACATTGACAGTAATATTTTAAATTCACTTTAAGCTCACATGATTAGATGTAGTAGAGAGCCGCTTTGTGCTACGATTGTTCAACATAAAAAAGAGTAGGTTGTAAATCTTCTTATAGGTACCCAATACAGTAATGATTTGTCAAGGAATGTAAATTTCGATAAGAGATGTGTATATTTTCAGAAAGGAAATGATCATAAAAAAGTTGCAGTGTGAGGATTTATGCTCTGTGATCAAATCAGTAAGCAAGAATATAAATTGACTCATGTGTGATGCTTTATCTCAAAAATCAGAAATAGCTTACACAATATCAATGAAAATTTTTGGTGGAGCAACTAAAACTGTCAGCAAAAAAAGGAATGTGGTGATCGATACCACCCTGAAATTGTGACGTCCGGATAAAAAACATAAATTAAACACACATATTTTAACTTCAATTAATTAGTGTTATATTATGGAGTTCTACTGATATTGATAATTTTTTTCCAGACTCATTCTGTGATTGTATACGAAGTCACCAGCTGTATATTACAACATAGGAGGTGTTTTACGTTTGCCATGATAATCCATTTTGCTTGATTTCAGGCTGGTACTAATAACTTTTTATTGCTATTATCTAAAGATGGCTTAACATATATACTGTATATTTATAATTTTAGATGTGCCAAAAAATTTTGAATTATTTTGTCGAGTGATTTGTCATCAACAGCAATAACTTTTTTGCTGTTGCAAAATCCACCACATTTATTGAATGCATTAATATTTCTCCTGGAACCGTTACATTTTATTAATTCCAATTGTTTTGTGGGGTATTCACATTTTTGTTTCAAATAATACTTTGTCAAAGTGGCTGAAAATTTCGAAGCAATTGGTCCAGTATTTATAAGAGAAAAGCAATTTTTTCACAACCACAATCAGAATTTTAACAACATAATAATAATAATAATAACAACCCAGGGGGGTTTGACCTCACCTCTACTGGGCGGGTCTCCAAGGTGGCGGATAGGGGAAACACCTAGGTAAAACTAGGTCAGCTGTGAATATTCAATAAGCAGCCCCGGACCAAAAAGGTAAAATTTAAAATGATAACTCGACATAAAAAAAACTACATAGAGGCTGGGACGACGCCCTCTATAAAAAGGTCCCAAAAAAACATTGTCAGTATGTCTACTGACACACTCTCACATCACGATATAAGTGGTCCCTCAACAGAGGATATTCCTCAACCGAGCCCCATACGTGAAATATCGGAAAGAAAAGAAAAAATTAAAAAACATCGTTGGAAACGTGAAGAGTATATACAAGTGATGGAAGCGTACTACAAAGCTGTGAGCTCTTCCTCAAAATGTATTACTAAACAAACACTTACAAATTGGCTTGAAGGACCCCACTCTTTGAATGTCCAAAATATGACAGCAAATGGACTTGCAAATGTCCGACGAGATATAATTCGGAATAACCGACTGACAGATATAGAACTGAAATCCATTAAACAGAAATACTTGGGATCAAGGGATATGAGTCAAAATGACAATGTACATGACGAAAATAGCCTATGTGACAATGTACAAGAAATATTACAACTGCCATGCATAAACTCACCTCAACCACCAACTCCTCCACCAGATAAACCAAAAGAAGAAACTGAAGAATTCTTAAAGGAATTAAAATCAAGATATTTTTCTGTCAGAGAACAAGATTTTAAAAACAGACTCAAATTGCCAAAATTACAATTAACGAAAGAAACTAAAATATGGCTAGCAGAAGGCAACAAAGCTATTGCCCTTTTGAAGCAAGATTTGGAATTTGATCTGGATATTACTGAAATATCAAACATTATTTATGCATGTTCAACTATGGTTACTGAAAAAGTTGAAGCAATAATTAGGAAACCTACTGGACCAAGGCACAATTACAAAGCAAAATGAAAAGTAAGAATTGAGAGCCAAATTAAACAAATGAGAGCAGATTTGTCTATCTTATCAGAAATACAAAACG